TTGTCTTGAAATAACAGAGCTGAATAGGTGTGCATATGACGACAAATGTTTTTACTACTCATCTAGGCGCCTACTCAAAAAAAACCCTCACAGCACACGTTGAACTGTATTCCTTACTGACTATCATTCTGAATTACTCTTGCTGGCTGACATTAAAAGCCAGAAGTTTTAGCATGGGGCTTGATAATACAAGATAACACAAATGTTTAGCATTTTTCTGATGAGAAAAAAAGATACTACTTTCAACATGACTTTTCAATTTAAAGATTAAAAAAGGGAGGGTTAGCTAAAATTAGCACAAAGACATGAAAAAGGGGGACAGTGTAAACTGGTAACACAATCCCCTTTTCAGGAAATCTTCAGCTGACTCATTGACAGATTATATCTGATCTAATGAATACATAGTGTAACTGTGTGTTTTCTAAGTTTAGTAAATGCCTGTTTTTTTCCCTCTGTGCTAAGCAACAACTAAACAAAGAAAGAAAGAAATAGAAAATAATAATCAGATAATAATAAATAAGATACTTTAACTGATCTTAAAGGAGGTTCTGGTAGGTATTGTCTAACCTGGAACAGTGCCAGGACAAGCAAGCCTCCTGCAGTTTCCAGTCTTTACACAGGTAATGGCTCTAATTATATAGCATGCAGAAATGAGAGCAGTACAAATCTTTTTTTTTTACCTGAAAAATACTATTTCCCAAAATGTCAAACTCTTATCATGCCCACTTCTACTGACTCCTTAGAATGTTACAAGTCAGTAGAAGACGTTTGACTTACACAATTTTAAGGTGTGGGAACGGAAAATACAACCACAGGAAGACAGAGTGAAGTTTCAACTTCAAGGCAAGCCAAAAGATACTTTATGCGAAGTTAAGCCTTCTGCATTGCTTCATGCAGTGGCTGAGTTTAGAAGGGGCTTTGCGGTGAACATGTTTAACAGAGTGATGCTTTAAAGTCAGACAAATGCACTGACTTAGCAGTAAAAGTGCTACACTACAAATTTAACTGATCATGTTTTTGACCATAAAAATTCAAGTGATCATATTTCTAATTTCCCAAATACGTATATGTCATGTCTGTGATCAGATGAGTTGAAGTTCAATCAAACCCGATGTCAGCTGGGAGCCTAAAGCTTAAATCTAATGTAACCAAAACAAATAAAGGTTTCTGGTGATTCAACTATAGGAAAATAATTAAACAAAGAGTGAAGAGGCGTAAGTAAGTTCCCTGAGTAGGAAGCCATGACGACGGTGGAAGTTTTTGAAACACAAATGTCATACGAACATCTCACATGTCTGAGAAGACCCCTAGGCAAGTGGGACTTATGTGATAGATTCTTATGTCTGAAACATACACCGGTGACCCAGCAAAACAGAGAGAGTTGTTTGAACACACACAAACACAAACTCAGACACAGACACTGAAGATCCTCACAGCTATGTTTCCTCTGAAGTCTGCCAAAGACAAATTGACTCATGTAATATTTGGTTGAACCAGAGACACAGTCTTTAGAATTATCAGCCAGTCTGCAGTGAGTCAGGGCAGCAGCTCTTAGTTTCAGGAAGTAAAGCATGCACAGTGGTGTACCTGGGTGGAGAATAAGGTCAAAGGAATTGACCTAAGGAAGTGGTTAACTCCCTGGTTTGGTACTCTTTCTCTTCATCTGTCCAAATTTACACAATATTAACACAAGCAGAGGTTGCTGACAGTCATGTTTTTCATGCTTTAACACACACACACACACACACACACACACACACACACACACACACACACAAATGTAATGCGTGTCTAATAATGTGCTGCCCCCTGCAGGTGGCTGATGGAATGGCCTATATTGAGCAGAAAAATTATATTCATCGAGACCTGAGAGCAGCCAACATCCTGGTGTCTCATGAACTCATCTGTAAGATTGCTGACTTTGGACTGGCAAGGCTGATTGAGGACAATGAATACACAGCAAGAGAGGGTACATAGCAGTTCACTTAAATCCGCTCTCTAGCCCACTCAACCTTTTTTTTTTTTTTGACAGGCTTATGTGATTCTCATGCATTTTCTTATAAGGCATTTGTTTGTTGGATGAATTTATCTTGGTTAAAAAATATTTACTGCAATCAAAACTGATTTCCTTTTTGAGAAAAGTTTCCTCTTTTTTTCAAAGGTGCAAAATTCCCCATCAAATGGACTGCTCCAGAGGCCATTAACTTCGGCACCTTTTCTATAAAATCCGATGTGTGGTCATTTGGGATCCTCCTGACAGAAATTGTGACATATGGACGCATACCTTACCCTGGTAAATTCTCATTCACAGCAACCATACTACTACCTAACCACCAAATTACAAATCCAACACAGATTTAAAATGCTGAAAGAAACATATTCATTGTCTCCTCAACAATTTATCTGTTGTTCAGGTATGTCCAACCCAGAGGTAATCCAGAACCTGGAGAGGGGCTACAGAATGCCAAAGCCAGAAAATAGTTCGGAGGGGCTTTACAACATCATGTGTCTGTGCTGGAGGGAAAGTCCAGAAGACAGGCCCACCTTTGAGTACCTGAGGAGTGTTCTGGACGATTTCTTCACTGCCACAGAGAGGCAGTACCAGGAATAGCCATGACAATGCAGACGGACTTACAGACATGCAATAAATACATTCAAGTTAAAGGCACAGCCTTTGAAGGTGGGTCGAGGATTTTTTTATTTTTTTTGTTGTTGGACATAAGCCTTCATGTTGACAAGATTCAAGCTGAGATCTTCAAAGTAAGAGTACTTTTTTGTGTGAGTCTTTTTTTGAAATGGCCTTATTGAACTTATTCAGTCTTGTGTGGAGCTGTGGAGCTGTGGAGCTGAAACTCTTTCCCAGCTGGATCACAGCAGAGCCACAGCAGACAGAAGAGCTATAATGCTGCTTGGAGAACCGGGGAACTTTATGATGTATTTGAACAAACTCATTCCTAATATGTTTAAACTGTCAAACTGCTGTATTTGTTCATGTTGTTTTTTTTTGTTTTTTTTACCTCTGCTGTTAAATACAATGTTATCCACTTCATTTACTTCCAATAAAAAATGTTATAATAGTTTTTGTATTAAACGAACTAGAACTCATTGCATTCATTTGAATTTTATGAAATCTATATTAATGCTGCATTCAGGGTACTGTGATCTTTGAAGCTGCGTGCTTTTGATACTATTTTTGATATAGGCCTACCAGAAAATAGGACAACCATTTCAAAGATGCATTTGTTATTGTGCAAATAGTTTTTGAAAAAGTTGAATATGAGGTAGCCTATCTTTTCTTCTCGATAGCACTTCAACTCTTCTAAATATGTGTAAGTGTTTATGTGTAATACTAAGATTCTTATCAAACATGGTGCATTATTATAGATTTACTAACACACAGTATAGGATTATATAAAAAAGCTAGCCTGCTCATTGACAAGCTGGCTGCTTAGTTAAAATTCTGCTTAATAGATAGATAGATAGATACTTTATTGATCCCGAGGGAAATTCAAAGCATCCAGTAGCAGGTTACAAGACGTACATGGCATGAAACATTTGTTACAAATTAAACCACAAAACCGACGCCCCCCCCTCCCATACATATATATATATACATATATATTAACCCGAAAAAAGATTTAAAGGATACCCCTAGATGAATAAACTGTGCAATTAAAAATAGACTTATACAAGAAATGTACATAACCTGTGCAGGGATAAAAATGTGTAATTTAAACAAGAACCTATGATCAGTTGAGGAAAAAATCTGTAATTAGACCTGAATATAAACAAAATAAAAACGTGTTGACCTTCTGAAGTTGTGTTGTTTGTATATGTACAGCAATGTTTAAAAAAGCAGATAGTGCAGTTATGCAGTTAGGTATGGAAAGGCTAATCCAAAAAGGTCGTAGGCTTACATTGGATGCTATTCTAAACTAACTATTTGACTGTTATACGAGGATTATTTAATATATATAACATAATACATATATATATATAATATAAATCTTAATACAGCAGGCTACTTAAATAATGAAATATACACTCTATATATACTATATACTCTATATGTACTCTACACTCATGCACTTTAACTTATGTTAATACTGTCCATTTACAACTCTGTTTTTGCACATTTAATCTTTTATATTTAATTTACAACCATCTACGACTCTGTTTTTGCACATTTACATGTAATCTTCCATATTTAATCTTCCTATTTAAGACAAGTAATGTTAGTTAAATCCTGGTGGTATATAGTCACATTCTTAGTTTTGATATTTTTAGTGCTTATTTACTTTGTATTTAATATTATATTATGTTTAGATTTGCTAACATTGTGTTTTTTACTCATATTGTGTGTTGGACAACCTGCTGCTGTAACACCACAATTTCCCAGTTTGGGATCAATAAAGTAATTCTATTATTTATATATATATATATATATATATATATATATATATATATATATATATATACTATATGCAGAACACGGGCTTTTACATAGGGATATTCATATCAACAATTAAGGGATCTCACTATTTAATCACAACAGTGGAGTTAGTTTGTTCGTCTAAATGTGTGAAAATAATAGACTTTTATTGTGTAGTGTGGGACAAAGGCAGCACATGAAGTACAGCGCCCCCTGTGGAAAGCCCCTCACATTACACCCTCCTGGCAGCACATGAAGTATAGCGCCCCCTGTGGAAAGCCCCTCACATTACACCCTCCTGGCAGCACATGAAGTATAGCGCCCCCTGTGGAACGCCCCTCACATTACACCCCACTGGCAGCACATGAAGTATAGCGCCCCCTGTGGAAAGCCCCTCACATTACACCCTCCTGGCAGCACATGAAGTATAGCGCCCCCTGTGGAAAGCCCCTCACATTACACCCCACTGGCAGCACATGAAGTATAGCGCCCCCTGTGGAACGCCCCTCACATTACACCCCGCTGGCAGCACATGAAGTATAGCGCCCCCTGTGGAACGCCCCTCACATTACACCCCGCTGACTGAAACAAACTCTCCGCCTCTCGTCGCTGTTGTCTCCTGCGGTGTGTGCGCTGAAGCCAGCCAAACAGCACTAAAATGGCGCTTACTTCCCAAGGAACAAAGAAAAAAGTTTGCTACTACTACGACGGTGAGTGCTTTTATGTATCTGTTTGAAAACACGACGGATGCGCTAATGAATGAAACCCCGCGACATTTGCACCCACAAAAAAAAGGGGGTCGCACTTTGTTTCACCTCATGCTAACCTGGCACGTTAGCTAACCTAGCTAGCTTACGTCGCGGGCGGTCGTCTACATCTCAATCTAACATCCTGCCGCTAAGTCCACACAGAATGTGTGTGTGTGTGTGCCCCACAAATTATGATATCTTATTTAACACACCCAGTGCCTTTGCGGTAGAATTTCGCGCGTTTACCTCTAAGATACTAGTTCTTAAACTAGATTAGTTAAGGTGACTAGCTAGAGCGCTAACAAAGGGGATACGCGTACTTCATTAACGCTACAACAAAGCTAACATTCAAATGGGCCATGTCGCTTACATCTAATGCCTGGTAGTGCTGATATAATAACACTGTGGTCGACTGTGTTCACCACGAGTGATAAAGCGACGTCCTGATCGTGTATCTGTGTACTTTGTGGAGTTTAATGAAGACATAGATGACCGTATATGTTAAGGGTTAATGTCCGTCTGCAGCATCTTTACAGACGAGCTTGATTGTACCTTTGAATGTCTGCACGATCCTGCTCTACACTGATTATGCATGAGGTTTTTTTTGTGTGTGTGTTACATTTGTAGTGATGCATTTAAAAACATTTAACATTACAACCTGTTGTGTTTTCGTTTCCCTCCTTTTCAGGTGATGTTGGAAATTATTACTACGGTCAGGGTCATCCTATGAAGCCCCACAGAATCCGCATGACTCACAACCTGTTGCTTAACTATGGCCTGTACAGAAAGATGGAGATCTATGTAAGTTAAATCAAGAGTACAGTGCTTTAAATACTTAAGTTTACATCCTGTTTTTAATGAAACTAAATTGTGTGTTACAGCGTCCACACAAAGCCAGCGGTGAGGAGATGACTAAGTATCACAGTGACGATTACATCAAATTCCTTCGTTCAATTCGACCGGACAACATGTCTGAGTACAGCAAACAAATGCAGAGATGTAAGTATGGGCAAAGAGTTGTGGTTTTTGCGTTCACCCTCATCAAACTCTTGGAGGAGAGCAAAAAAGGGTGATCACGTCTCTGCCCTTGCTTTACAGTTAATGTGGGAGAGGACTGTCCAGTGTTTGATGGCTTGTTTGAGTTCTGCCAGCTCTCAGGAGGGGGCTCCGTCGGTACGTTGTTCCTCTTAAAATTCGTTCCACTCGTGTTTTGTTGGGACAGCATTCGTGCCGTCTTCGCTCCCAGCAATCTGTTGCGGTGTGTACCAGTTGTAGTTGCTAATGCCCCCCACCTCCCTGTGCTGCAGCCGGTGCCGTCAAGTTGAACAAACAGCAGACCGACATTGCTATCAACTGGGCTGGAGGCCTGCATCACGCCAAGAAGTCTGAGGCCTCAGGCTTTTGCTATGTCAATGACATTGTACTGGCCATTCTGGAGTTACTGAAGTGAGTAAAAAAAAAAAGTCCTATCATAGGATGTTTGCTTGGGAGGGGGTGATTCTTTGTGTGTTTGAACACATTATCTTTAAGTCTGACTTTAAGAAAGAATTATATCACAAACTATACGTCTCATCTCAACAGTTTTTGGACTGAAATTATTTTTTCCCCTCTTTCCAGATACCACCAGCGAGTTCTGTATATAGATATTGACATCCATCATGGGGATGGTGTGGAGGAGGCATTCTACACCACAGACCGTGTTATGACAGTTTCCTTCCATAAGTATGGAGAGTATTTCCCTGGCACAGGGGACCTGAGGGTAAGCCTAAAAGAAATATTCAACAGATAAACTATTTTCTTCATTGTCATATAGTGAACTAACTTCTGGCCTGTTCTCTGCAGGACATTGGTGCTGGGAAGGGGAAATATTATGCTGTGAATTACCCACTGAGGGATGGGATTGATGATGAGTCATATGAAGCCATATTCAAACCAGTAAGTTCATGAAGACATGTTGACTGTGATGTTTTTGTAATTCAGATCTCCCTTGATGTATCAATCTGAGTGTGAATATCTTGTTTTCTTGCATAGATAATGGCCAAAGTGATGGAGATGTACCAACCCAGTGCAGTGGTTCTGCAGTGTGGAGCAGATTCTCTGTCAGGAGACAGGCTTGGTTGCTTTAACCTCACCATTAAAGGTCAGTTGACGAAACATAATGGTCCTCTGATAACACTGTAAGCAAAGAGGTTTGCAACAACTGTCTTGACAAGTTGAGAAGAGAGTCCAAAGTATTTTCTCCATGCTCTTTTGCTTAGGTCATGCCAAGTGTGTTGAGTACATGAAGAGTTTCAACCTGCCGTTACTCATGCTCGGTGGAGGAGGCTACACCATCCGCAATGTGGCCCGCTGCTGGACGTATGAGACTGCTGTAGCCCTTGATACCTCCATCCCCAACGGTGAGTCTATAGGTGTATGCTGTATTGGATATAACCAGCTTGATATGGCAGTTTTAAGACATCCCTCTTGGCTTGGGTAGTTTCCCTTACTTCTTACAATTATTAGTGAAGAGCTACATTTTGTACAGTTTGTTTGAAATGGAGGTATTATAGACATGAAACATTGGTAGCGCCTCATTCAAACAAGTACGTGACTTCATATTTATTTGATTTTGAAAAAGCTATTTGTAAAGTGTATATATTCTCACTTTTGAACTTGACAGAGCTCCCATACAACGACTACTTTGAGTACTTTGGACCAGACTTCAAGCTGCACATCAGCCCCTCAAACATGACCAATCAGAACACCAACGACTACCTGGAGAAAATCAAGTGAGTGCATGAGGTGGCCAATAGTGTAAGGCTTTTTTTCCCTCTTTGTTTAAAATGCTGATTTGTATTATGCATGTTGTGCAGCATCAAGCAAGTCATAATCCAGTCTCCTCATCGGTCAGCAGCTCCTACATGTTTTGTATTGTGATATGAAAGTTGAAACTTGGCCAAGTAATTGATAAGTGCCTGTATCTCTACAAATAAAGATCAATTGATTGATGTCTGTTCATAGTGAAATAGATTTAGCTTCTGGTCAGTTTTTTTTTAACCTGTATTCTGTCCTGTAGGCAGCGCCTGTTTGAGAACTTGCGCATGCTACCCCATGCCCCAGGGGTTCAATGCAAGCCATTCCTGAGGATGCTGTGCAGGAGGACAGCGGGGATGAGGAGGAGGATGACCCCAACAAACGCATCTCCAGTAGGAACACCTCACAAAGTCACACCATATGTCCTGCAGTCAAATCTGTGAGCCATGTTTTAATCCAACCCTGTCCTCCTGTTACTGTTTAGTCCGTGCTCATGACAAAAGGATAGCATGTGAGGAGGAGTTCTCCGACTCAGAGGATGAAGGCGAAGGCGGCCGTAGAAATGCAGCCAGCTTCAAGAAAGCCAAACGGGCCAAAACTGAAGGAGAGAAAGAGGGAGAAGAAAAGGAGAAGAAAGGTGAGGAGGAAACAAAAGGTATCTATTCACTTTTTTTTTTTTTCCTCATTTTCTCATGTTAAGTTTGAAACAAGGGAACTTTTTAACATTTCTTATGAGTTCACATTTTAAGTTAAATCATCCCATATGATACAAAGGCTATGTTTTAAGATCTATGATTTTTTTTTTTTTTTTTTAAGAAGTAAAAGAAGAAGAGAAGGTGCCTGAAGAGGAGAAAATGGACACATCAAAGTAAGACACACGCAGCATTCTTAATTTTGTTGTCTAGGTTGTGGCTTGTTGGGAGTGTTAATTATATCCTTACTCTGTGTCTCTTCTAGGCCAAAAGAAGAGTCCAAGACACCCTGAGGTCCTCCGCAGTAAATTATGCCAGCGCAACTGATCCGGACGGATCCTTGTTTTTTCTCTTTTTTCTTTTTTTTTTTCAAGCAAGATTTTTTGGATAACTCATCTTTCCAAGGGTGCTGCTGTGGAAATCCATGAAGGACTATACCTTTTAAATGAGGCCTCCCCTCTCTTGAAATGGGACAGGGATCCAAACATGATTTTCTAGGTCACCTTTTCAACCTTTGCTGTTTATGGACTGAAGTCAGTCAGTGTTTGAGTATTGTTTTTGTATGCCTTCTCATTTTATATCCTTTATTCTCTTATGCTATGTCATTTGCCTTCCCCAGTGAAGCTACTCTGTAAAAATGGCTTAGTACATGTATGCTTTTATATATCTGATGGATTTAATTTATTTAAATCATAGATATTTTGGCTACTCTGTTTTGTTTTTCAGTCACACTCTTTTCCTGTCTTTGAATATGTAGTTGAAGCATGTTTATGCAATAGATCTTTTTCTGTAATACATCTGTGTCACTGGTCTTGCCTGCCACGGTCACCAAGTGTGGTAGAGAGGGTTGCTTATACCTGAATACCTTTTACACGTCACAGTTGACATATATTAGTCTTATATTTTAGGATGTAATTTAGTGTGCGCCAATTACTGACAAATTGACATCTTTGGGAAGTCTGTTGGACTCCTGCCTCGCTGAATTGAAGGTGTTTGAGTCCTGTCAGATGAGTGCCAATGTCAGGGTTTTATTCCAAGGAAATTAGGACTTGTATGTCCAGTAGTACTCAGTGTAAGACAGGATTCAAGATAAGTACTGGACTTCAATTGTTGTATATATTTATATTCTGAAACATGAGTCATAGTGTTCCACAAGAGAGCGTGCAACTGTTCTATAAATCTGACCCTGGTGTGTGTGTTGAGCACACTTTTAAAACCAATAAAAAAACTGCCCTAAAAAAGATACAAAGCTTTTTTTCTGTAATTTAATTAGAAATCAGATTTTAACCTTTCTGGTCTCAAGAAAAAACATCATTTTAAAAAGCAAACAATTTTAATATTCAGAAACCACTTACAGTGCTGTTCTTTTTCTTTCGTTAACAGTATGCAAATAACATAATTCTGGACCTAACCAACAGCAGAACTGTACCAGGAAATGATTTCCCTCCAGAGGGAATAAAATGCATTTGGTTTTGCTGTTAAGTCTTTAAAGTCGTCTTACGACATGACGTGTAACAGACAATACAACAAAGTCAAAACTGACAGTGCGTTTTCATCAAGTCGAGCCCAGCAGTTTCCAACCTATCTCATTAGGTTTATCTGCTTCAGAGCCATTCACTCCGTTCCACTGCCGTGCTGGACTCCAGCAGCTCATCCCGCTCTGCAGGCTCTGCTTCAACATCTGTTTGTGGGTCTCTTGCCCGAGGTGTAGGCTCAGTGTGAACAGCTCTCTGAAAATGCACCTGAAACACATTATATTCAAACATATCAAGAAGCCATCTCTAAATTATTATTCTAATAGATAAAGATTCAGCAAGGGAAATGTAGTGAATAATATAGACGTGTGTTTAGCAGCTAAAGCAACAATTAGAGGACATGTAATACAGGCTGACTTGTAGTGTTTGGCTGCAATTATTAAAATTTGATTGAAAACTCACATCACACACAAAGTTGACTCCTTGAATTAGCATTTTGTTTATACAAAATGCTATTTCAGGGTCAAAGGTCAAACATTGACAACAGTTTATTCATAGAGCGATATTTACATTTTTGATCGGTGAAGACCAGGTGAAGATACAGCCAAAGGGTAATATACCAAAGTGCTGTTAATGATGTGTGCTTCTTAAACTTCCTGCTTTAATTTTACTTTCAAGATCAAGCCATGTGCTTGTGCACTGAGACAGCATGCGATAAGAAACCACAGTGCTCTGTTTGCTGAGCCAGAAGATCTCAACCACTGGCTTCTTGTGTCTTTATTATATTTAGTGTCGCGTTGCTTTTTTTTGTGCACAATAAGTAGGCCGGGCCAGTTAAAGGTTAAAACTTCAGCTGGATTGAATGTGTTTTTATTTCTGGAAACTATGCCAATTCTAAGCCTTGTACTAAAATTATGAGATGAAGCAGAATTACTTGATAGTTTAAAAGTCTGTTTGCTGATTTTTGCACTCTATAACAGCACCGTTATTTGAACAACAGACAGGCTGGAAAGTGCTTAATCTTGTAAGATTAAATACTTGTTCTTCACAAAATAGAGTATTTTCTTCCATTTCAGTTTATTGGTTTTCTGTTTGGTAAAGCTGTAGAAGTGGAGTGTTTCAAAATAGAGATCCGCTAATTGTGTAAATCAGGGCCAATACCTATACCAATGTGTAAAAAAAACAACTGAGTGATTTCCAATGTTTTTTAATTAATTCTCATCAATTGGACGTGTCTTTTGAGTTTTGATGTCTTAAAATTGTAGCCAGTAATCGCTCCTCTTGAAATGTCCCTGGAACATGTCTCGCATACGGTAAATCTGTGATCTTGAACTCCCACACTTCCGACATTTTCTTTCATTTTTGATTGACCATGAAAACCAATCACTTGATCCAACAGCTGACTCCTTCACAATAAATAAAATATATTCTCCATTCTGCAGTTATACTAGCCTGCCTGCTTTAAATTGATCGATACACCAGATATACATCAGCTGCTAACATTGGTGCATGTCACATTTTTGGACGATGGGTCAATGTCTGTCAAGGAGGCTGAAATCCACCGATACCCTCTGTGTATCCCTGTTTAAACTCATTTCCCCCGTACTGTAAAACCTTCATATTACTACAAATGAACATTTATGCTAAAACAGATAACATCTCAAGCCAGTGTCTGACTGAAATCGCTTGTGGGATAAATACCACAATAATCAGTCTTGAAAAACTCTTGCACACTTGTGACAGAAACACTATGACAAAAAGTGCAGGTCTAGCAGTGTCAGTGATCTGAACGCAACTTACCGCCTTGGCCCGGATCGGCCTCTTTCTGCACGGACAGAGGTAAAGGAATGAAGTACAGACAGCAAAGCAGCGGAAAGAGAACACTGTTTCCACCACGCACATCAAGATGAGAGGCACCCACAGAATGATTGTTGTGCCCTGAGTTAACACATACAAACAAAATCATATAACTAATTAATGAAAACTTTTTTTTTTTTTACAGACTAATTCAAACATATCCAAACTTACATAGATACGAGTGGGATCAAAGGGGCATTCGTATGTGATGCTGGCAGAGGAGCCGACATCTTTATCAGGGAACGTACAGTGTGTTAGCAGGCTCCATCCTTTGTGAATTATGGCTTTAACAATAGAAACCGACAAGCCCAGGATGGAGGCAACTGCCAGTAGACCTGCAATGAAACTGAAGACCAGCAAGACCCACTGCTGCAAGGTACAAAAACAAAATGAAAATGTTGGTGAAAACACAACTCTTAAATCTTCATTGTGCAATAGCTTGACAATACAAAAGCTTTTCAATGTACAGAAGAATTATGAAATACAAAATTCCAACTGAGATTATGCTGAAAAAAATTATTTCTACATTTGCATTTGCCCATTTATTAACATTTTGAATAACTTGTATTTTCTGTGACTGCACTTTCCATGCGTTCACTCAAAAACAACGGCAAGTTCTAACAGGAGCCGGAGAATGACAGATACATGCTGAATGGAGAAACTGCAACAAAGAGAGGGGAGCAGTATTTACCAGGATCCTGTTTTTCTTGTTTTTGGACAGGACAATGGCTGTTATTCCACTAATGATTCCCTAAGGAGGAGATGTTTCGTTATAACCAACAGAAATTCAGTGACAGATGATCATTACTACTCAAACAGGTCCTATTTAAGGATTTAGAACTAAATACATGGACTTTATTTACACATTTGTAGCACGCTTGGATACTGAGTTTTATGTAATAGCAACAAACCATTACATACTTGTTGTGCATGATTGGTCTGTCATAACCTACTTTAAATATCAAATTACTCCATAACCACTTAATGCACATGTTCTTCAACTTACCACCAAGCCAGCCACGATGGCAATGACATTAGAAATGGCATATTCCTTGGTACTAGCCGTAGAGTGCAAATTGATATGTCTGAGCACAGCGCCATGCACAAGTGCTCCGAGAAGAAAGTTGACATGGCCCACCAGCACCAGCCCCAGCCCCATCTTCATCAGGGTCTTGTTGTCCTTGAGGCTGGCACAGCATACTCCTAGAGGAGAAAGAGACATTTTAAGCAACATGGCCTTTGGGAAAATGTGAAAAGACTCATAGCTAGCTTTGTTTATTGTTTGTACAAAGGTCCACATTGTCAGACTAAAGCATGTAATAAGCTGTGTGTGCATCAATTGTTGACAGGAATCAATGTGGTGCTACAAGATGCAATTACAGTACAAGCATACATATATTAAAGTAAACCAATAAACAGAACAAGCTGTATATCAAGTGACAACTTGTATGAGAGCTGACTTCATTGCAGGGAAGCAGTTTCAGCAAAGTCAAAAGGAAGCGGGTCGGTGGTTAGAACAACGTGCAGAGCTTGAGATAAAAGGCAGTTACCACAAAATATACAGGACCCCTGCAGAGGCGGGTGACAATCATCTTCAGTGCACTGTGCAAGGGATTGTGTTGCACTATTTTGTTCATTCCTAAAGGGCAAGAGTGAAACACCGACCCAAATGAAGGCCCCTCCTTATTACCAACAAGGCAAAGCTCTGGGAGGGGTTCAAACATTCAACATAACCTTTCATCTGACCTATGAGGGCTCAGGTAGGAACAGAAACCTCCAAGGGGCCTGTCTCATTCAAGCTGAGTTCTGTGGAAAAACTCACAATGTTTTTGGTCATAATATTTGTAAAACCATGTTTGCTGCCACTCAAGTACAAATTATCACATCCCGTCAATCTAATTAACAATAACACCATGATATGATATTCACAGTATTTACATGTTGATGAAGTGGATGTATGTACACTCATCAAAACGAATTCCTTGAAACTGAATACTCTGGTAGACTATACAAAGGCACCATATACCTCTTGTAGGCTATTTAGCTCGGCTGTCTCCTATTTTTACTCTCTTCACAGTCAATATGAATGTAAAATGTGGGCTTTACTGTAGTATAGAGATATATGTGACCAAATGAACACAACAATATGTCCCAGTAGGCAAATAATCAAAATGTAGGCGTCTTTCACTAGAGCTCGCAGACCACGCCTAAAAAGTTTAGTGCGCAACACACCGATATATTCTGAAACGTTTTTGAAACACGATTAAAGTGCACTTACCTAAATTTACCATGATGTATTTTATGTCCTCTTAGATTTCATTAGTGTACAAGTTATGTTGGAGTCATTTTTGACACCTTTTTTTTCCCTTAACCCTCCGCTCCTCGTATAGTTGTCTTCCTCTACAGCCGCTCACCTGCGGAAAAAACAATCGTAACCTTCCGCCTACCTGTGCGGAAGCTCCGCCCCCCCCTAGCCTTCATTCACTGTAAGAGATTACTGCTTGGGGAAAGCATTTAGTTTGAAACATCTATTAGCTGTTATTTAAACAGACTTTTTACATTTAAACATTATAGCAAAAATTCTGACTATACTGTAGCCTATATGAAGTGATGAGTCTGGTATTTTACCTGTCCTTCTGTAAAGCGCTTTGAGATAACACTTATCATAATTATGATTGATTAATGAAGAGTTTTTATATATATATATATTTCATAGTCTTTAGGATAGTGCCGCATATTTTTCTTTGTTTGCCTCAGAAATGTATAAACTAGTAGGCTATAGTAGATCTTGTGTTACAGTGAGCATTTGTAATAGTAATTTGAACAAGTACAAGACACCACGTTCCAATAAATATCAAAGAAAAGAAAAAGTTGTGTAACTTACGATGCATATCTTTCTAGCTAAAAGAAGACAAAACTAAAACTAATGAGAAATAGTTTATAACTTGCAGACAGTATAAAAAAAAAACTGTTTGTGTGCAGAGAATGAATGACTAAATAAACAGTTATATTGCAGTGATTAAGTGATTAAGTGAATAAAACTGACAATTAATGACTTTACCTCCTGAGTGTTGAAGCACACAAACAGCATAATTAACTGCTGCCTACCAGACTTGTTAGCTTAATTGCCAGCACCTGGTCCTCCTGCACAGAACCTTTTTAATGAGACACCTGGCCTGGACAGTGATCAGAGTGGTTGGCCCACTTGGAGGTTTGCAATGGGGATTGTACAGTTTTTTCTTTGCATTTTTGCTGGACATGTCATCACTGTTCAGTCAGTAATACATGAGCTGGATGCCAGGTTCCCTCATGATTTTGCAGGCTTTTTTGACCATATCAGGCCTTTTCCAATTGAAGGAAATTTAGATTTGTTTCCATATGACTCCATCTTAAGCTCATGGCATCCGACTCCTGACTTCAACATGCTTGCTGAATTGCCTCCCATCATGAACATTCCGCAAGTAGAGGTGTTTTGTGATGACTCTAAGCTAACCCTGCTGGTTGATAAGAGGTCTAATGGTGTCAAATTGGCTGGAGAGGAGATCCAGTTGGGTAATGGCTGCTTCAGCAATGGAGAGATGCCAAATCAATTTGTCTTCACTTACAGTTTGGATGAGTGTGGAACAACACGTGTGGTAAGTTCTTTAAACTGCGGCGTTACAGATTTCTTTATTCCCACAGCTTTTTGTGGCTCTTTCTGAGACAAGACTCTGTTGCAGATGCAGAACGGTCTTGGATGTTCACCAATACTCTCACTTGAACACCGAAAATCCTCCCAACACCTGGTGGCCAACGCCTTCCTCAGTGCACATCTCCTGCATCCCACAGAGGTCAGTCAATTGTTTACTTTAAACATTTTTAAAGGCCACAAAAAAAGCACACTAAAGGAGGCTTTATGTCTTTTCAGGTCATATAATTCTCAAAACTTGCTTGTATCAACTGCATTTCCAAATGTTGGCGAGACCTTTAATATCAAAGCCATGAACCGTGAGTAATATAAGTCACTTGTGTGCCTGTATTGTTGAATCATTTTATGTACAATATATATTTTTTATTTCCCCCTTGCAGCATCCTGGTATGGCACCGCTGACTCTAATGTGTATAAAAGAGGCCAGGTTATCAACTTTCAGGTGTCAGCCAGAACCAGGTATGATCAGGAGCAGCTTTTCATCCAGTCCTGTCATGTCTCTGCATCTCCTGAGCCTTGGATTAAACCCAGACATGCAGTCATAATGAATAAAGGGTGAGAAGCCACTCAGTAACAAGTTGTAAAATGTGTCCATGTTGTTAAAATCACATGGCATATCCTCACTCCCCACCAGGTGCACAGCCCTGCTGGGTTCTCCTCATGCTGCTGTACAATTTGTGACCTCCAACAGAGCTGATGTGGTTAATTTTATTCTGAATGCAACTTATAATATTTCTGAGGTAAGGTTTCCCTAGTTTTTTTTTTCCTTTTTGGCCATGTTCATCTGTATCACTTTTTTTTTTTTTTATTAAACTCTCCTCCCCTGAAGCTGCACATCCACTGTAGGGTCCTAATCTCAGACAAGGGTGTCACTGTTGGCTCCAAATCCTGTAACTACAATGTGCTGAAGTCAAGGTAGTTAAATGTAATCTGTCAGTGACTAAGTTTACACTTTTTTTTTTTTTCATTACTTCATGAGGTTTTTTTACATTTCAGATGGGATGATCTGAGTGGAACTGCAGATGTGTGTGACTGCTGTAGCTCAAAGTGTAAAGGCCTGCCAATCAGGCATCTTGCTGAAGGTCAGATTTTTTTTTTTTTTTTTTTCCCCTCACCCCTAAAAACTGTCTCAATAAATGACATTATCTGTTTCTAACTGAAGTTATCTGTGCCGTGTGTTTTAGATGCCATGGCTGTTGTCACCACTGGACCCTTCGTCATTGTGGACAAAGAAAAGTGACAAGTCCTGAGCCTTCAGTTTCTGATCCACAAGAAACCCCCAGTCTTACTGACTCCATGCAGTCTGACTCCTCTGACGCTGCAGCTACAGACTGGGTTGTTGCTGGTACTACTTTATCGAGACGCAAGTTTTCTCAAATCCCACGGGGTGTTGTGGTGGTGAGTGAGGACCCAGTTGCTAGACTGACCCTTTGGCTACCTGGACACATACAAGAACATGTTGAGACTCTTGGTTTGGCCTCTGTAGACAAATTATTACAGGACATTCCTGATCTGCAGCCTTCAACTATAGTTAAGGAGTCTATCATGAATTCAAAAACAAATACTGGAGATCAAAAATTGAATTTAATTACCCTGGTGGATGGGCCATAAAGCTCCCACATCTGGAAGAAGCAGCCATTAATGAAGAAAGCAAGAGAAAAAGGTGGTTTGAACCAACTGGAATGTTTGGTTCACAGTCTCCACAAGAAGTTGTCACCTTTCTGCCAGCTGAGATACCCAGAAATGTCCTCAATAAAGACAACTTTGCCCAAAGTAGAGCTGAAAGGCAAGCAGCTGAAGCACCCAAAGAAGGAGCATATGCTGCTCCACCTATAATTCGCACAAAACTTCAGTTGTCCAATGGTGCTGATGGGTCACAGGTGTTGAGTTATGAGGAAGAAGAGCTGAATCAACCAGAGGGGAAAGCTGTGACCACAAGAGTTGGGATGGAGGGAAAGCGGGAACGCAGACCAAGTGCCATGTTTCAAGCTTTCCTGGATTTGTTGAGGTTTCTTATGTTTGGTTAATTAAAAAATAATTTCAGGTTTGATTTGCTCTTGTATGTTGGTGTGTTTACAGGTGTAAAATCTGACTAACTCATTCTGTTTGTCTCTTTTATTGCAGGATGAGTGAACAAGAATAACTGCAGCTTTGTAACATGTTCTGTAATACTTTAAATTAATAAACTATTGAAAAATTGTAGGCGAATTTGTTTTTTTCTTTTTAAATTAAACTGGTAGGCTATTTCATGGTTTCCGGTATAAGCAATGCAGGTTCAGACTTCACTTGAAATTAAAAAAAAAAGTCAAACTCTCCTTTTTAAACGCAATGCCTTTCATTGATTAAATTGCGGCTTCATGCGTCTGGAAAAGTCCACAGTAGTTTGTCCCTTCTGTGAAAGCTTTTGTCTTCCCACCCAGATGTCGCTGTGGGGAGCCGGGCTGTGTAGTTGGGCCAGTACAGTGTGCTGCTCTCCCTTTTATGCCGCATGCTCAGTGAGTGAGTGGTTCTTGTTTTTTTTTTTTTCCTCATCCTAAATTTGACCCTGGCCACTATTTCCTCCGTACCGCCGCTCTCTATAAAGTGCCCATGCGTGTCCTTACGCAGTCTCTTTCCCCGGCCACAAAACAACCGTGAGTGTCTAACTCACCGTTCTTGAAAAACTTAAAATAAAAATAAAATAAAAAATATAAAATCTACAAAATCTTTATAAAAACAAGTACCGCAATACTTAAAGGAAAAACAAACGCTTATTACAAAAATAGCAAAACATTAATTTAAGAAAAAAAAAAAAAACACTTGGAACCAGGAGGCCTCGGGTTTAACCCGAATTTGGCGTTATTAAAGGAAGAAACACTTCAGAAGACCTCGCTTTATACCGTGATTTTTCCAGGTTCGACATTTTTCTGAGCACGCTTGAGCAGAGAGCCAGCTGTCAGTGTCTTTATTAGGTGAAGCACAGTTCGGACTCGGAATATTTTCATACCGGCTATTTTTCTCACGCCTTTTTGAGGGAAAGGGGAGCTCTCCGTTCAAACATTTAGTGGAGTCCGAGATATGAACACAGCAGCTACGGGGAGTTATCCGATGGCTTCTCTCTACGTTGGCGACCTGCACCCCGACATCACGGAGGCTATGCTGTATGAGAAATTCAGCCCAGCCGGACCGGTGCTCTCCATTCGAGTATGCAGAGACATGATCACCCGGCGATCCTTGGGATACGCGTATGTTAACTTTTCCCAACCTGCTGACGGTAAGAGATGAAAAGTGTGTGATCACTGCATAGTTTGAGCATGTTACCTGCATGTGTAGAAGTACACGCATCATACAGATATGAACTATGTCACCTTATGCTGTCAATGTCAATAATCTCAGTCTGCATTGTGAATACAATTAGGGAAATGTGTCTCTTAATTAAAAAAAAGCATGACCTTGCTTTAATTATGTTTGAGGTGCTATTTTTGCTTTTACTTTTAAGACATCCATAGCAGTTATTTAGGCTGGTTGAAGAACTAGTTTGACCCATATAAACCGGGCCCAGTTCTTGTGTACTCTGCTAAAAATGTGAGAGAAATCCCTTAACATATGCAGAGAAGACAATTTAAGTTAACAGAATAGAAGTGCCCATCACTTAAATCACAAAATAAGGGTGTATGTGCCTATTACACATCTAATGTATTAATTCCAAAATGACCTATTTCTGCTCCTATTTAAAGGCCACAGAGTAAAACCAATTCCCATTGCCCTCTGCTTCTACATTCACTGAAGACGAGGAACAAAAGAAAAGCACAGCTGAGCAATAGTCCCTGCTTCATCTCTTTTTATTTAAATGTGTGTTGTCTGGTAGATGCAGTAATATTAAAAACGTGATCCTATTGTTATTTCGATTTTACTCCATTGTAAACCTGTATCTTGTTAAGGAATAGGTGAATCATATGGTTGACTTTCCTTGTCATAGTTTAACCACTTGAACTGCTTCAGATTGTTAATCCAGTCTCATGCACAAGTGTCTCTCTTTAACATGTAACAAATGTGAGGAAGTGTCTTTTCCAGTTGCAGCCAGTGGCATCAAACCATTGAGTAATAACAGCAGATGGTGTGGTTATCTTTGAAGGACTGTCACATACTGTTTACATTTTGTGGACTTTTTTTTTTTTTTTCTTCGATTGTTTCATTGTGAAACACCTGTCACAAAATATCTGTGCACATGTCTGGAACCAAAAGCCAAAGTAATGAGGGGTTACAAATGGCTGCATTCCAGGAAGGTAGTATAACTCACTTGAGTAAATGTAATAAGAGCCACAAGTGAGAATACACCATTTGTTATTGGAGGTGTAGACATGGGGGGGATGGTAGCTTTTTTGTATTTACATGGAGTCCCTGCACGTGTCTGTAGGACAGGAGTCTTCTTCCTTTTAGTGCAACAAAGAATATGGACATTAACACAACTGGAGCTGGTCAGCTGATTCCGTGAGAGAGCATATAGATAGTTTGCAACTTTGTTAGATTGTTGTCGTGCTGTAACCTTGTGAGTAAACAGTGTTACTCATCTGAGCATTCTAGTTGAATGTGTTTCTTCCCCATCAATGGTAGAGAATGCTCTACTCTCCCTCCATGCCAGCACATACCTCACAGGACCCCTCTCTAAATATAGAAGGTCTTTTCTGAGCAGACTCCAATTTGCCTGCCGGTTATACTTGAAAGTTCCTAACATGTCATTAATGATTAAGTAACTGTCAACATTTAAAAACGATATCTTAGTGTGGTTGTTAATGACATCACCTAAGGTAACGACTTTAATATATGATTTAGATGCTAAGATTCCCTCTCTGAACCTCCAGAGGTCCATATGTTTGAGAGTAAAAACACACCTTATCTGAACACACGGGCTGTGAAGTACAATTGCGAGCCAAACTGCTGATGCCAGCAGACGCAAGGCAGCTCTGTTTTGTTTACCAGACACTTTTAGTTGGAAAGCCTGCACTGTGTGTGTGTGTGTGTGTGTGTGTGCGTGTGCGTGTGCGTGTGTGTGTTTGTGTGTGTGCGCGTGTGTTACTGTGGAGTAAGTGAACAAAGGGATGTTTGGCATGTGTAGCCACATGGACATGAAAGCCTATATTTGAGTTAAAGCAATAAATGGAAAGAGGAATAGTAGAAATTCTGAAATGAAATTGGGCCCAAAGAAGACGTAATGATTTGATAATCTGACAGTTGTTCCAAATGAATAATCAACACCATAACTAGTTCTATTGTTGTTCTGTACCATTGCAACGGGCCTAGGTGGTACTAGGCCAAGCAGCATTAGTGAGTTGATCGAAGGCAGCCATGTGCTCCCAGCCTGCCCACTGCAGCTGCCTCCACATTTGTCCCAGCTGCTCATCAGCCACATGGCCCACTGCAGTAACTTTACCGTGATACATGGGGCTGGTAAATCGTGGGGCAGCAGGGATTCTACATTGAAGCAGCATACACTGCACAGAAGGGAAAAAAAACGTTTTAGTACAATCCAGCGTTTGTTATTGTTGTTATTTGAGTGTTTCAAGGCAGTGCTCATGTGATTTAAAGGGATGGCTAGTTGTCACATAGTAGTTGCATGATGCATTATATGAAGTAACATGCTGTAGTGACTCACATGTTTTCAGACTTGCTCCATGTAAACAAACACCCATGACCTTTCCCCTCCCCCACCTCTCTGCCCCTTCAGCTGAGAGAGCCCTGGACACCATGAACTTTGACGTGGTGAAGGGAAAGCCAATCAGAATCATGTGGTCCCAAAGAGACCCCTCCCTCAGGAAGTCTGGAGTGGGCAACGTGTTCATCAAGAACCTTGACAAGTCCATTGACAACAAAGCACTGTATGACACCTTCTCTGCCTTTGGGAACATTCTCTCCTGCAAGGTACAGTTGTCTGAAAGGTGACTGTGGGACTTTTCAGATGATTGTTGTTTTTTTTAATGCATTTTATCCCGATTTTTGGAGACAAAAAGTCATGCTTAAAGGTTTCACATGAATAGAGCTTCATAAGTGAAAAAAAAAATTTCTCCAATATTCATTCCCTGTATAAACAAAAAACAAGTCACACTGTTGCAGTCCTTCCACATTTTGTAAAAAAAAAACATCCTAATTTGCCTTGTACAGACATTTGAATATGGAAAACCTGTGCCACACTTATGTCTGCCTTTTAAATACAAACTACAGCTAGCAGCCTGTTAGCATAAAAACTGGAAAGAGGAGAAGCAGTTAAAGCTCATTTATTTACAAACTGGTCACGTCTTGTTGATCAGAGTGAGAACGGTCAAACCTTAAATATAAAACCTCTAATTTGTGTTTATACCACAAAAGAATCACTTACCCACAAAATATTGTGCTTAGTTTTTGTTCTGCTGTTCTTATGAAAGTCATCAGAGTTATACAGTACTTAGGTTGCACTTTTAAGGAAGGTATAGATTTTATCATTTAACTCTCTGCAAGAAAGCAAAAGAGTACCTTGCCCTATAGATCTTAAACTGTAACATTAAGATTAAGTAACTGCCGGGATGAGTCATGATGCCTTTCTAATGGATACATATTTACCTTCATGTCTTCCCCTCCTACAGGTGGTATGTGATGAAAATGGCTCCAAGGGCTATGCCTTTGTCCACTTTGAGACCCAGGATGCTGCTGACCGTGCCATTGAGAAGATGAACGGCATGCTTCTGAATGACCGCAAGGTGTGAGTGTCTGATCATCTAGGAACTGGGGTCCAAAGGGGGGTCGGTTGTTGATAGTGTTATTAAAGAAATGAAAAAAAAAAAAAAAACAGCATAAACTTAACGTTTTTTTCCAATGTTAGTTCAGACATTGCAGCACTTAGTGAGTATATGGTAGTTATGGCTATTGCCTTAAAGTATTACACTGAGATTCCTTATGTGTCTTAGGGTATAAACATGACTGTATTTCACTTGTGTTGGGTGAACTGACTTTTTGTGTCTTCTTTTCAGTTTTTTGGGTTTTGTGTGTAAATAATTTGACTAATAAACCCACCTCTCACTACCACTAGTGTGAAGATAACCTCTAAACATATAGATAAAAAAAAAAACTAAAAACTTTTTATATATCCTAATCTTTCCTACAAGACGCATTTCTGTTGCCTCATTTGTCCACTCGCTGGTCACCGGTCTTGGAGTGTTTGTATGTGTGTGTGTGTATGACCACGCTTGTGTGTTTTAGTGATGGATCGAATGCAGGAATGCAAAACTGGATGTCGGAAGGAGAGAGAGGTCATCATAGCAAGGTATATAAGATCATTTGGTCCTCCTGAGCTTTCCTTTGTATTGTGAGACTCTGTTCCTCAACCCCTCTCCATCCACCTCCTCATCAAGTTTTGGACCAAGAATTAAGATGGTTGTCACTGTGTTGTCTAGCATGCCAGCATATCTGCCTGCCTCTGGTGATATTAACAAAAGTTGGATGATATTTTTCTATGTCTACACTTGGAATGATGAGTCACATGGGGAAAGGTAGCTGTGAATTTGTTTTGTGGATGTTGTCCCTGTACTCTTTTACTCCCTGTGCTTATGTGGTCAGGTCTTCCTCTGTCATTGTCGAACTTTCCCAACCTGGAAACCCAAATGAGGATTTTCTTTGAAAGCAAACAGCAAGTGATGGATCCTGGTTTGTTTCTCTCTGTGTGAGGACTGTTTTAAAAGAGTGTGTGTTGCTGCTTTCCCTCTATTTCAGGTTTGTGGGTCGTTTCAAATCTCGCAAAGAACGGGAGGCTGAACTTGGTGCCAAAGCCAAAGAGTTTACCAATGTTTACATCAAGAACTTTGCCGACGATGTGGACGATGAGCGGCTGAAGGAGATGTTCGACAAATATGGTAAGATCGGACAACATTCACTGGCAGCACTCTGTTGTTCTAGTTGTGAAATCTTACACGACCTTTAACATGTGCAGGTAAAACACTCAGCGTAAAGGTGATGACTGATCCCACCGGCAAATCAAGAGGCTTTGGATTTGTTAGCTATGAGAAACATGAGGATGCTAACAAGGTACTTTAGTCTCATGGAAATGTATTAAGTTGAGTTTCATTAGTAATTCCCTCTTTTGATAATGACTTTCATCCGAAGGCTGTAGAGGACATGAATGGCGCAGAATTCGGTGGTAAGACTGTGTTTGTGGGCCGGGCTCAGAAGAAGATGGAGCGGCAGGCAGAGCTTAAGAGGAAGTTTGAGCTGCTGAAACAAGAGCGGATCAGTCGTTATCAGGTATGCAGAAAATAAGCTCTGATCTCTCTCTTAAAATATAAATTCAATCAGTCACTTAGTATAAACAAGCAGCTTTTTTTGGTATACTGTATGTTTCATGACTGTATGTATTTTTTTCAGGGTGTTAATCTTTACATTAAGAACCTTGATGACACCATAGACGACGAGAAACTGCGCAAGGAGTTCTCTCCATTCGGATCTATTACAAGTGCTAAGGTGAGAAAGTTCATACAGAGGTTAGAATGTATATATTTAATCAATATAAATATACAGCAACAGCATGATTTTATCAAATGCCTGAAGTCACTGAGGCACAATGTGTTCTTTAGGTGATGCTAGAGGAGGGTCGTTCCAAGGGCTTTGGCTTCGTCTGCTTCTCCTCCCCTGAAGAGGCCACCAAGGCCGTGACCGAGATGAATGGACGCATCGTTGGCTCCAAACCCCTCTATGTGGCTCTTGCTCAGCGCAAAGAGGAGCGCAAAGCCCACCTTACCAACCAGTACATGCAGCGTATCGCTGGAATGAGGGCCATGCCTGCAAATGCCATCATTAATCAATTCCAGCCCACGAGTGGCTACTTCATGCCAGCAGTGCCTCAGGTGTGAGAATGAACTTCTGTTAAGAACATGCTTGCCATAAATGCTAAAATCCAATTAATGTAATGTAAAAAATGGTTGAGTTGCTATGTGTTTAATGTGAAAGGGGTCGCTTAGACATCTACGGATAGTTATGACTTGACATTGCATGTCTCAGAAGCTCTAAGCTTTTTGGTGAGATAGCATACTATTTTATTTTGGAAAACTGGTTACTTTGCTGTTTTGGTTCAGTGTCATCAGGAAGACAGATCTTTTTTGCACTAAAGTTCTAAAAATCTGATGCATGCAAACTGAAGATAGGCAAAAGAAACGACTAGCTTTGTAGATTGTGGACCTGTAGCCTAAGAGCCAGATGTTTCATACAGGAGTAAGTGGAGACCAAATGTGGAGCTATAAAGGGAGTTAATACAAGATAAATATTTGCAAAGTGGACAACTCAAATGAAACACCTATGTTGCATAATGTCTTCTGAATGTGTTAAATAGTATCTACTATGCTTTCGAATTGATCATAGCAGGGGTAAATATGTCAGTGTTTACAGTCAGAGTTGACATACACAATCTATTGATGTAGATCTTTTTGTTTTTTTTAAGTTTTTTTGTTTAATTTGTATTTCAAAGCTGAAGTGGGTTAGGGTTCCCAAGATTTTCAAGTGACATTTTTTACCTTTTTTTCCAGAGGACACTTTGATCCTTTGGTTTCCATGTAATTACCATGTTAAAATACTAGACAATACAGGAGTATTTCAGCAGAATATGCTTTTTTAGTGACATGTAATGATACAATTTTGTTACTGGTATCCATCAGGCCCAGAATAGGACAACATACTATGCACCCAATCAGCTGGCCCAAATGAGACCCAACCCCAGATGGCAGCAACAAGGTGGCAGAGGTCAAGGTAAGACTGTGCCACTTTATGATCATGCAGCTGCCCTTAAAATACACTTTCTTAAACTTCAAATACAGAGTTAAATTACCGTAATAGATAAATATAAAAAAAATGAATTTCATTCTTTGACTCTGTTACTGTCACTAGGGGGTTTCCAAGGGATACCCAATTCACTACGCCAGCCAGGACCCCGTGGCAACTTGAGGCACATGTCTCCTGGTAGCACACAGGGACCACGAGGTGTGTTCATTAATAGTAATTGATCCAGTTGACACTATCAATTTGCATCATCATTTCATTGACACTACATGAACTATAAAGCTGGTCAAGACACTGAGTTCATGTTTTTTTATCTTCTCTTCAAGCTGCTGGCCAGGCCATGGCTCCTCGTCCCTCGATGGGAGTCCCCGGCGGCCCCCGTGCCATGCCTCCTTACAAATATGCCACTGGTGTCCGTAACCCAAACCCCCAGGTTGTTCAACCTATTGCTTTACAGCAGGTGTGGAAGAAATACCAGTCAGATCTCAGTGTGTTCCAGTCATTTCAAACAATCAAAGCTTTACATTTGACTTTCTAATTTCTTTCTCTGTGCCCTCCAGGCTCAGCCGGCTGTACATGTTCAGGGCCAGGAGCCTCTCACAGCCTCCATGCTGGCTGCTGCACCCCCTCAGGAACAGAAGCAAATGCTAGGTACAAATCCTATAACATTATGCATTAACTCTGATGCTTTTCAGCCTTCATTAGATTTGATTGATTTTTTTTTTTTCTGTATTTTTCCAAATAGGTGAGCGTCTTTTTCCACTGATTCAGTCCATGCATGCCAACCTGGCAGGAAAGATCACCGGCATGCTGCTGGAGATTGACAACTCTGAATTGCTACATATGCTGGAGTCTCATGAATCTCTGCGATCAAAGGTACTTTTCTCCCTCCTCCACAATGCCACATGTATGTCTTTTATCCACTTGTTACTGTGTTAATTTACTTTTGTCTTGTTTTGTGTTATGTTACTACAGGTGGAAGAGGCTGTTGCTGTGCTACAAGCCCACCAGGCAAAGAAAGATGCCACTCAAAAAGTGGGTGGCCTGGCTACTACAGCTCCACCTGCTGCCACATCCTGAAAACTGTATGCTGCAGTAAGTTGACATGATAATAAAAATCAGTGTAGCTATTCTTACTTGCTGATTTTGTCTTTACAGAATGTAAGCTTTAAGATGGTAACGAAAAAAATCCTTGTTGTTTTAGGACACAGAAAACTGAGCAGAAATGGGGAGGGCCTTACTATGGCGACTCCAAACACCTGACTCCTCTAAACAACTGTGCAAAAGAAAAGAAAAAAAAGAAAAGAAAAATGTAATTAAAAAAATCTACTTTAAAATTTTGAAAAAATGTTACAGTTCATAATTTTCTAGTTCTGTAATTATTTTAAACTGCATACCAAAAGATATAATACTAATACATCTTGAATGGAGGCCCTTCATTCTGTGGCAATGGACAAAAAACTTTTTCTAAAAGGAAACGAGCCTTGTTCTTTTTCTTTGCTTGACAGTTTTATGTTTGATTTGAAATGAAAGGCTTCTCCATGCTATCATGTTATCATTGGTGTGTGGTATTCTCAATAAAGGGATGTTACATCATGGTTATCACTCTTGTGTTACTTTAATGCCTACATTTATTTATTATGTCTCTGTTGTATATGTGGGTATCTACACTGCAGGAGTAGCATAAAATATATTCTATAGTATATACCTTAGTCTCGGCCCAATAGTTGTTATGGAGGATGTTATTTTAGATGTTACCTCTTGTTTAGTTAACATGATCTAAGTAAGGAAAAGTAAACCTTTAATTTTCCTTTAAAGAAGTGATATGAACAGATGGGTCTGCACCAATAAATAAACAGTAAATAATATTTGTTTCTGAGTTTTCATAAAAAATGTTGGGCCATGAATTGACAAAAGGGCAATCAGGATCTGGACAGCAAATTGAAACTGCAGAGCCACATCTATCATTTTGAATGGATTGATATTAAGCTCACAGAATGATAAATATCCAATGTACTGCATTTGTAAATAAGAACAATGTTTATATTAAAAAAAAACAATTTTATAGGTTACAATCTCATGGTCGACCTGTCTTTTGATATAGTTATCCTTTGATGTTCAACATTTTTTATGCAACACTTTTTGAAATCTTTTCTAAATGTCATGTCTAGGATTGCAACCAGTTGGCTAAAAAACTTGTGAGGAAGAGAAGGAAGATAAAGGTGCAAGTCAGATAAACATTTAGGGAGTGGGTCATGATTAATAAAGAAAAGACAAAAATACAAGTGGTATAAATCCCCGGGCTTAAGAGGGCTCCCTGTGTTGTATGTTAGTCTACTTTTAAAACTACTAATGAACTTTTCTGGAAACAAGATATTGTTCATAACCCTGGACACATATGTTTTCTTTAGCAATGGCTAACCAAAAGTTATCTTTACTTATGTTTGATAGCTCATCTATAAGAGTTAGTCATTCATTATAATTCAAGCTTGAACATTGGGGACTTATTGAATACAAAAAACACAGATGTGGCAGATAACATGAAGCATGGGTCTGTTCTAGTGTAGGGGAGTCACGTGTAACAAAGAAGAAATTACATCATATTAAAGAAAAATTCCAAATATGTCAATTCAAGTAATACTGAGCTCGAATCAGCTAGTTCAGCTAAGGTTTAACTATTTTCCATCCTGGATCATTGTCACACTGCTTATAAAAGCTTGAGCTTACCATGAAGTCCAAATTTCAATTTTCAACAATAAGTCCAGCCAACATCCTTTTTATTATTTACAACTGTAGGCCTACCTCTGAAGATGCACAGCAAAACAAACAAATTAAAATATCACATTTTCTGAAAATGGGTAATTTAAATTGTTCAAATACATAGATTTTGCAAAAAGGTAACAAATAGCCTATAGCTAAGTTTAGGATGACATCACGAAATGATGAGAGAGAGAGATTCAACTTTATTGTCATTACACATATACAAGTATAGAGTAATGAAATGAGGTTTGGCATCTCACCAGAAGTGCAATAAGCAGAAAGTGCAAGAATCAGTGCTATGTACAGTAATTACAAAATGTACAGATGTAGACTAAAACAAAATGAATTATTGGGTATATATGTCTGGATTAATGGGAAATGATAGAAACAGACCTGAGCTTTTACAGTAAAGTTGCTGACGTAGTTCTCTGCAATTAAAAGCTTAACTATCACAGTTAACCACACAAAGTGAGTTGTAAGATTATAGAGGGATTCCTCCAACAGGGGGCGCTGGAGGAAACGTAGACATAGGGAGGCGGGCTTTAGTCTGACTGCACCAATGACAAGCAGCTTGGGGTCACAGTTGAAGGGTTAAATCCAACATGGCGGCGAACAAACGAGTGCTGTATGTTGGTAAGTTACCGGGTTTTTTTTCATGAAATAAGTTAGTTATCATGTTTAAGTAACAGTAGGAAAGAAACGTAGGACATTTATTTACATGAAAGTAATTTCACAGGACTAAATGTGTAGAATTTCATAAAGATATGGACTAAAAAGCCGTAGATATGAAGAGATTTAGCTGGTAAAACGTGAAAGCTTCAGGTCAAAACATGGCAACCAGGCTGACTTTTCATTTGGTTTTGTAGTTCCCAAAATAAAAGTTCGACACGTAAACAAAAGTAATGAGATAACAACACACTTAATGAACTAATAAACCAGACTTCAGCTTCTGACTGGGACATGAACCTGCTCCTTCAATCCGCATGCAAACACTTGTTGACTTTAATCAAAGCTTGTGATGTGTTTCTGTCAGGTGGACTAGCAGAGGAGGTGGATGAGAAGGTGTTGCATGCAGCGTTTATTCCGTTTGGAGACATCACAGACATCCAGATACCATTAGACTATGAAACAGGTAAGATGAAGGCTTTTCCTGCTCTCTCTCTCTGTTACTGCAGTAAAACACTAAAGTAAGCATGTGTTTGCTCTTCTTTCAGAAAAGCACAGAGGATTTGCGTTCATTGAATTTGAATTGGGAGAGGTATGTACTTGTAATACATTTGTCCACCCTTATTTTATTTTTTTTAAATAGTAGTTGTGCCCAGGCCATCCCTGCTCCCCCTGAAACCGCCTCAGCATGACTACATTACAAAGTCAAAGCTCCACAGTGGACGTGTCTGTCACACTGGCTGCTCCTGAGTGAAAAGTGAAGCGTGCGTTATCTTCGCTGTTTGGATGTAATGCAGCTCTCTCCTGTGTGGATAAGTTCACAGACCGCAGCGTGCTGTGCGACGACGTCATGAACTTAATTTACCGATTGTTGATGAATGCAGACACAGTCAGAACCGGCCGTGGGACCTGATCAGGTACACTCCTGACCTTAAGGGCTTGGTCCGTATGGACTATGTTCTGCTGCACTAAAAGTCAACAGGCGCGTAATGCCTGCGTTCCTTCTGTGTGTGTGTGTGCACATGACTGTTTGTGTGTGTCGGTGCATCCCTGCGGTGCTCCTACATGCAGACAGCAGAGAGACAGGGAAAGAAGCTGCAGTCACACCAAACGTGCTTAAAACAAGGTTTATTTTTATTTAAAAAATCTTAGATCTGTAGGAAAAAACCAAGATTATTTCACAAGCTTTACAAATCCCCCCCCACACATTTGTGCATATCCGTGATAGTCCGTGTTTTACAGCAGCTGGGTTAACTTTGTTAGCTGGTAACTTTGCTACAAGTTTACTGGTTCAATATGCAAGAATATGAAATTTCTTAACTGTCATCACTGATCACTACACATGAAAACCAGACAAGAGAAACATACACATGTCTTCAAACACATCGCTATGTTGCACTTACAGTTTCAATAAAGACAAACATTTCTTTATACTTTACAGCAGTAAAATATAAATGTAGTAAAGCAGGACCACTGGTATTGATTTTCATATGCGTCATGGTGGTGGAAGATGGGTGGTACTGGTGTGACAGACGAGTGGTGTGCCATCAGAGATGCATGACACATGCCGCTGAATAATCAATCAATCATTATTTGTATAGCGCCAATTTACAACAAGTGTTATCTCGAGACGCTTTACAAAAGAGGAGCTGCGCTGAATTTACACCACATGTCGCTGCTCCTGGAGTGGCATGCCATATGCTGCTTTTTTTTTTTTTGATCTGTGTGCTGCTGTAAGATGTGTTGTTACTTTCTGATGCGAATAGTAAGATTTTAACAGAAGAACCAAAAAAGCAACATCAGGGAAAGCTTGGTTTTAAGGGGGAGATAACCAGTCATTATTATGGCTGTGATTTAGCGTTGAAACAGGAATATGAACTGAACTAATTTATCAGGAACCTGTTTTCACATTTTAGTCAGAAAGCTGTAAATTCAATTTACACACGGTTTGAATTGACAGTTGAAAAAAAAAAGTCTCTGATCAAAACCTAACAGGCTGTGGCTTAGTTATAAAATCAGTTTTCTCTCAACCAGTAGGTCAGGGGTTCGATCCCAAGCCGCAGCCACATGTCAAAGTGTCCTTGGGCAAGACATTGAACCCCAAATTACTCCTGCTGCTGTCAGTGGCTGTCGATGTGAATGAACTGGATAAGTTAATACTGATGAACACTTAACATAGCAACCTCTGCCATCAGTGTGTGAATGTGACATACAGTGTAAGAAGCACAGTGAGCAGTCAGAAGACTAGAAAAGCGCTACACAAGTCCACTTACCAGTTAACCTATGCTCCTTTTCTTCAACAGGATGCTGCAGCAGCTATTGATAATATGGTAAGTGGATCATATTGGTGCACATTTGTCAGTGGTGTTTTATTTCTAAAAGCTTGTCACTACAAGTGTACCCAAAAAGCACAGAAAGAGAGATTGTGTTTTATTTCTATTTGTCTGCTAGAATGAGTCCGAGCTTTTTGGACGAACTATCCGGGTCAACACTGCCAAGCCCATGAGAATCAAAGAAGGCTCTTCTCGACCAGGTGATTGATGAAAGCCTTTTTGCAGAAATCGTTTGACTGGATGTTAACTTACATCTTTTAATTCTGATTGAAACTCTGCTTTCTTTTTTTAGTTTGGTCGGACGACGACTGGCTAAAGAAGTTCTCTGGTAAAACCACAGAGGAGGCTGAGGGCGAGGGCGCCACTGGAGAATCAACCAACACTGCAGCACAGGAGGTGAGGCGGCTTTCTTTTTCTGTGCTGGTGCTTCTTCTTTTCTATTTAAGATAGTGACATAAAGGATACATTGTTTTTGCAGGACGAGCCTCCCGCTAAAAAAGGCAGAGTTAATCCTCAGGTCTACATGGACATCAAGATTGGAAACAAGCCAGCAGGGAGGCTACGCTTTCTTCTTCGGGCTGACATTGTTCCCATGACTGCAGGTGTGAAAGCCATGTGCTCATCATTGCATCTTTGACAAAAACAAATTTACTATAGCTGCACAATTTCAAGTTACAAGTGAGAGTCTGTAAAGAATGAACAACACCATACAACAAATTCCAACACCCAGTGTGAGATGCTAGTAGCATCACCCTTTGAAAAAACAAAGTATGGGTTCACAGACATTTAATAAATCCCTTCTTTTATCCTACACAGAAAATTTCCGCTGCTTGTGCACACACGAGAAGGGATTTGGCTTCAAAGGCAGCAGCTTTCATCGTATCATCCCTCAGTTTATGTGCCAAGGAGGTGACTTCACAAACCACAACGGCACCGGCGGCAAGTCGATCTACGGCCGGAAGTTTGACGATGAGAACTTTGTCCTCAAACACACCGCTCCAGGTAGGAAGTTTGGAGGGCAGCTGTCAGATTGCATAGTGTGAGGTCTCTCTTTGGATTAGACCCATGGTTAATGTTTACTAGCGGATTTTGCAGATAGCTGGCCAAACCTTGTGTCTCTTGTGCTTGCAGGACAGCTCTCCATGGCCAACTCTGGGCCAAACAGTAATGGCTCTCAGTTTTTCATCACCAATGATAAAACCGACTGGCTTGATGGCAAGCATGTGGTGTTTGGAGACCTGGTGGAGGGGATGGATGTGCTCCGTTCAATGGAGGTAAGGGATGAAAGGCTTTGGGCTGCAGATGCAACATGATTTCTTAACATGATTACATCTTTGATTCCTGTTTCAAAGCGTGTATACAATTATTATAAGAGCCTCAAATCACTCAAAACAGAAAACGCTCTCTCTCTCTTTCTCTATCACAAAGGCTCTCTATACCCCTGTAACTTACATGTGTTTACACATAACCACATTTTTTCACTATTGTGTGAGCAAATATGTCCAGGGCCACATTGGGAACCACCCTCTTTACTTATTCAAGGCAAGGACTACTTTGAGTGATGAACCACTCAATTATGTTCCTTTCCTTTTTCTTTGTAGCTCGTGAAACTTCTCTGATTTTGTTAATTCAAGTGTGATTCCATACGAACTAAAACATAGCATAAGTATTTGAATTCAAATTGAGTGCAAAGAAATAAAGGAGAAATCATGTCTCATACTGATTCAGTAAAAGGCCAGTGCAGTTCACTGTTCAATACCCAACAACTCCAGACAGGGAAGAGGAAAGAGAGCGGGACTGTGCGTTTGAAGAGGTGGAAAGATGTGATTGGTATTTCTTTGTGCCACAGTTCACAGATACTCCAGTCTGTGGTGTAGTTCATACACTTCACTGAAATGTATTACTATACTGAGTGATGTTTTATCTCATGAACAAACAAAGATTCATACAAATTTGACACTTCTCTCCATTTTCAGCAGCTCCATCTCACTCACTTTACAGTTTATCAGTTCATTTATTTCATACTTGTGAAAAAAGGGTCTGAATAAATATGTCCTTGTCCTGAATTTTGTGATGCTATTATTAATAATAAATTAAAAACAATATGAAGATCTTCACAGATTTCCTATTTGACTGACAGTTCATTACTTAATGACTCCTCACAGTGCTGTTATGACATGAAGGGTAAAGTGAATGAGAGGACAGCAGTGAAAAGAAGTTAAATGATTTTGCATGTTAAGAGGTGAAACTGACCGTGAATACATTAATCCTGCTCTTCACTGTTTTTAGTAACATTTTGTGTTTTTCAAATATTTAGATTTTGTGAAGTTTGATTGTTTAGTAATAAATCAATTATCGCAGAATCGCTGTTCCCTTGCTTATACTGTTACCTCTATTTAATTTACATGTAGAACTGGGGAATAAGATGAAATCACATGTAGTCACTGGAAACCTATGTGAGATGCATTCTGCCATATTAAAAGCTGCGCACCTGTGATCATAACCCAGCTTAAAACATGACTATAGCTCTGAAATAATATGTTCTTTAAGCATAGATAAATCCCTCACTTCTCATGGCAAATAAAACATGTACAGGTACGACTGAAACCAAAATAAGCAGAAGTAAGAAGCTGCTGCTTTGAATACAAGAGGTGATTTTAAAACGATGATATTTTAAGGATCATCTGAAAATGTAGTTGGTAAATCTTGACTTCAGTAGCAAAAATATATATTTTTTATATTTGAGTTCTTATTGTAATAATTGCTAATAGAGGTTTAAGTCAATCATGCTGCATTTTGTAAGTAATGTAAATTTGTGTTTCCTTTCTGCAGGCTCAGGGATCAAAAGAAGGCAAAACGAAGCAGAAAGTTATCATCTCTGACTGTGGAGAATATGTGTGAATGTGAAGACTGTGTGCTAGTTTGTACGTGTCTATGGAGACAGTGCATGAATGAGAGAGCAGGAGTTTGTTATTGGTCTTTTGTACTTTGTAATGTAAATATTTCAATAAACTCCCACTTTTTTATTAAAGAATCAAAATCCAATTTCTGTTGACTTGTTGCAAATTAAATATCACATTGATCTTCTCATCGTTTTTATTTATACCTTTACTGATGCTTGATTAACTATTTAAAATGCTTATTTTCCCTGTTTTATTTTTGTTAAGAATAAATGCACAAACATTCAAGTAAAGTCGGTTGCTACATGAATGTAAATGATTTGTAAAAACAATAATTGTGAATGTTGAAAGAGAAGCACGCTACAAATATAATCTGTGCTTAAATCTCGTTTAGGTAAGTTTAATTCTATTTGTATTATTATTAAAATGATCACGGTCCGTGACGGGGAAAGTGAGACGAATCCGTCGTCGTCTACTCTAGGAACTTGAGTGGAACAACAAATATTTGATAGAGCAGGGCTGCCCCACCTGAGCAGGTTGAGTGGAGAGAAGACATGGGAGGCAGACAACTCCACCCACTTCACTCCCGTACTGTTGAGAAATCTGCGAAGACTCATTGGTGATGGTTATCCCAAACCTCGTTCCTCCTGCTTCGACACTGAAACGCGATAAAAAAACATTTTAACTGTAAGTATTCAAATGATTTTTTTGTATATTACTATACAGGATAGCACCGCGAACATGTTCGGATTAAGTCAAGTCCGTATATTTGGATAGTAAAGTGTTTAAATTGATATTTTGGAAACGCGTAATTGCGCACGGAAAGTACGAACCTGGAAGCGTATTTACCCGAGTAGAAGGAAAGCGACCGGTGGATTTCAGTGAGTTGTCCGACTCTATTTCAGGACAATAGGTTCTGGACGCTTAATTTCATGGTAAAGTTTAGAATTTAGAAACGTTTGAGACACTTTTAGGTGCACACTTAGGTGCTCGTTTCCCCTCAAAGATATGTCGAGACTGAAATCCTAACTTTGCCTTACTTCAGTTTACTTCTTTGTCTTTGTCTTTACTTTGTACTCTATCTCTGGTATGACTGTCGTTTCTTTTTGTCTTAGAGTGACGGTTACTCGACTTCTGTCCGTGCCGTTTCAGCTCAGAAGTGCTTTCTCTGTCTTCCATCAGCGGGAAGAGCAGACAGACTGTGAACAAACCTCGTCATGAACTGGGCATTCCTCCAAGGCCTCCTCAGTGGAGTGAACAAGTACTCCACAGCCTTCGGCCGTGTGTGGCTTTCCATTGTATTCCTCTTCAGGGTCATGGTATTTGTGGTGGCAGCAGAGAAGGTATGGGGCGATGAACAAAAGGACTTCAAATGCAACACAGCTCAGCCTGGGTGCCATAATGTCTGCTATGACCACTTCTTCCCCGTGTCCCACGTCCGGCTGTGGGCACTGCAGCTGATCTTTGTCACCTGCCCCTCTCTCCTGGTGGTGATGCATGTGGCCTACAGGGAAGACAGAGAAAAGAAGAACAAGCTCAAGTATGGCGAGAACTGCCGCCGTCTCTACCAGAACACCGGCAAGAAGCGAGGAGGCCTGTGGTGGACTTATGTCCTCACTTTGGTTTTCAAAATAGCCGTGGACGCCACTTTCGTCTACCTCGTCTACCACATCTACGAGGGTTACGACTTCCCCTCGCTCATTAAGTGTGAACAGAAGCCCTGTCCCAACAAAGTGGACTGCTTCATTGCTCGGCCCACTGAGAAACGAATCTTCACCCTCTTCATGGTGGTCACCAGCCTGGTCTGCATCCTTCTCTCCATTTTTGAAATCGTCTACCTGGTCGGCAAACGCTGCCGTGAATGTATCAGCTCGCTTCAACACTCTCGCCATGACATGACCAACAGAATGTCCAGTGGAAGCAACTTGATGGAGTCAAACACTTTGAAGCTTACAGACAAAAAAACACCCAACACACCTGCTCCTTCATACAGTGTTGCCATATCTTGAAGCTAGTTAGAATAAAGACTTTATGGAAAACAGAGATGGAAAAGTGTCTTACCTCAAAATACAGGCACTTCCTTAAAGACTTCCTACATTTTTCTTCCAAGAGACTGAATTACGATTGATGTAGGTTTTAACTGTTTGGTTCTACACTGCCAGAAGACATGTTTCATTGAACTGGAATGTGCACACTGTGGGGTTTGGGTCAGAGCAGAATGTACAGATGAAGTTCCATGCATAATGAAAAAAATGTGATGCAGTGTTGGATTTAGCCTTGATAGCAATTACATGAGTCACCCGATGGCCTAGCGAGTGGTTTTACAAACACATGTGGTTTTCTGTGTAAGAATTTTCCCCTGCTCACTGCCCAACATCCAAAAGTTTGCTTCAAACAGAACTGTCTTTTCCTTATGCACACATTCATATGTGACCCTGTCAATAGTGTACTTTTCATAATTTATCAAAAGGTTTGGACCATTTTTCTGTTGTGCAAGTTACTGTTCTCACATGTCATACTGCATTCTGTAAACAAGCAGCAGAGAGCTTTGCAGCGTAAATGCTGTGGTGTAAACAGATTGAATGATTCCAGGATGTGCATAGTTCACAGAACTGAGATACACATGATTGCATAGTTGTTCATATTTTTTCATTAAATATTTTTTTCTTGTTTAAACATTGAGTATGTGTTTTCATTTTTTCTCAAGAGCAAGATATCCAGTTTATAAAGGCCCAAACACAGAAGTGTGTACTGCATTTAATGTAGAGCTATTATTTTAACTGCACAACATGTTGAAAAAAAAAAGTCTTTGCATAACAAATCAGAATAATGTAAACCAGACAAAGGAAGTTCTGTGGTTTAACAAAGATCTCAGACTTTCTTTCTTGAACTTTTTCCATGTGTTCCTTAAAGTTCTTCCTCCTCTTTGGCTCACAGATTGCCCTGTTGCTAGGAGCAGTACCTTCATTGTTTAGCTTGATTGGTGCTTTTAGGAGGGCTGATTCATCCGTAATGGTGTGTTTGGACCCACCCATCGCTGGAATTTGTTAATGCGTGTAGCCTCTGAATGGATGATTCCAGTATTTAAACTGCTACATGGGATTATGGAGATGTGGTGAGAGTTAAATGGCATGTTTTATCACCCTTGCCCTTTGGTATCTGCCTCTGAAAGTTGTGCAGCCACCTCAGTACCTCAAAATGAAATGAATATATTTTCTTCTGCTCAGAGCCATGAAGAATGATTTCATAACATTTGAAAAAAAAAAAAACCTCAAAACCACAGTACATCTTTCCACAAACATAGGAGAGGAGAACCTGCAGACACTTCAGTTAACAGGCTTCATTGAAACTGTTAAGTCTATTTCAGTAGACAGTAGTTTCAATGAAGATTAACAAGTGAGGCCTGTAGAGTGTCTGAGCAAGTAGAGCACAGTTTCAGGAAAGGAAAAGTTGCTGCCAAAAAGTCATTAGTCACCTCTGCTGTAGTGGGGTGGCAGCAGATATGTCACTGGTAATCTTAGTCCACAGCCGATAAAAGCAAAAATGTCTGATCAGAGAGATTCATGTGGAGGAGGTGAAAAATATGGTCTTTTGTTTAAACTTAATCATGACAAGAAGTGATTTAATTTAAATCATATTGTCACATTCACACTGGCTTCTCAAGTTCTCAAGTGATATATCAAATATTATTTAGTATAATATCTACAGGACCTTATGACCAAGCTTTACATTGTGCCCTTTTCTTTGTTCATAATGTGTTTGCCCAGCCTGAATGGGTAGTTCTCCAAATGAGCTCAAGATCACTCCCACTTTAAGACCCTCCCAATTCTTCTCGGGTAGTTTTTTTTCTCCTTGTCCGTGCTTTCTCTGCTCTCTGGTACATTTCCTCCCTTTCACAGTTGTTGTAGTGAAAAGCGATTTGTTTATCCTGTTGTGTAGGTCTGTCTTGTCAAAACTTGTGGCTGGCAGAGGTTGAGTCACAAGGTGCATTCCTCCAGGTGTGTCCCTGCAGACTGCCTGGACCAGTTTTTCATCTGGAACCAAGAAGCAACTTTTCTTCCCCTCCCCCACTCGAATGCCATTTTTTGGTGCCCTGAACTGCTCTAAATGTTGTGACTGCAGATGTTTCATTCATGTGTTCGAGCTTTGGATGGCTTTCTTAAAAAGCACAGCTGGACTTGATCCTCCTGAGAATCTTCTGAGAGTTGCAGCACTCAGCTGTGAGACTTTAAAATGGAGTGTTTCATGAAGAAAGGACAGACTACAGCAACTCTTTAGAGGGCTACTTCATACTTTCAGTGTTGTAGAAATGAAACATTACAGTTGAGAGTGTCATTTCTTCATAAATGTAACTATACAGATGCCTAATTTGCTTGTGGTCAACCATATTTTAGGCTGGTACCAGACTACTGAATTTCTGCCATCACATCTCATTTTTTGAGTAAACAAAGTAAAGAAAAAGCTATTCAGATTATCAGGTTTTCAATCCAAACATGACTTTTCACGCCTTTTACGTTACACTCTTGTAAATTAAAGTCACAAAGTTGATATAAGGGACAATTTGTGGATGTATTTTTCTCCTTAGAAGTGATGGGTTTGGTTGGGAGGCGTTACTGTTGTGTGCCTAAAAAAGCCCATTGAGACATTGTGTGTGATTGTACTGAACAAAAAGAATGACTTGACTTGACTAATGATATATGAACTTGTCTTTAATCCTTTCATGTAATGTGAATCCAGGAATTCTAAAGGCTCACACATGGGCACAGGCCTACAAGAACTGGCAAGTTCTGGCACAGCTATGGCTTTTGTTCGGGCTAATATTTGATCATCCCCACAACATTCATGGACTTCAATTCATTCACAAACAAAACCAATAAAGGGCTGCTTCCCTTACAGATGCACAGTGAAGAAGCCCCATAAGGATATCTGATCTATAAAGTGTAAGAAAAGTCTGTTAAGTTAGGTTGTGGGCTTTAAAAGATTGTATAGAGGAGACAAAAAGTGACAGTCTGATGTGACAGTGAGGATGAGCGTTTGACAGTGTCATCTGAGTAGAGCTTGGCTGGAAAGACAATAGGGGACACAATACGCCTTGTTGGCACTCCTAGGTTATGGAAAAAAAAAGTACAGAAAAAAGAGGAACAGGGAAATTGGATATTTTTTCTGGTTACCTGCCAACATACTCTGTGACAAATGAACTGATCTCCCTACTCTGATCTTCTCTCTAGCATGGCACTCAGAATGCTATAAGAATCTGCAATAAAAAGTGACTGCATAAAAACAACAAAAAATGCATTCACCTCAAGGTGTGTCTGCTGACGTACAGTGATCTGTTGAGACATGGCGATAACCCTTCCTGGAAACTTTAAACAAAAAAAAATCTGCTGTCTCGAAACGTTTACAAACAAACCATAGGACAGTGCTCTGCCTTGATAACTCTCTGTGATACACAGTTTAGTAGAAAGATACTGATAGGATACTGTGAATTAAGGTGCCTTTTTTGTATGTAAGGCAAATGTTGTTATTTATTCTTTGATCGTGGTGCAATAAAACTAAACTGTCCCTCGGTTTGTAACAGACCCTCAATGACCTCTTGTGGTCTTAATATTGCCATTAACAGACTAAAATCATATGTGGTCTTAAACCTCTAAAGCTGTGATTTGGTATTTAATTCCGTAAATGATTTTTTCTTATGACATGATTGTATGCCTATTTGCAAAACATATCCAAAGTACTTGAATACGGTCTATGTGAGCTGGGTTTACTGTTATGCAAAAAATATTTGAATTGCAACCTAACACAGGCGTGTGAGTGGGAGAAAGAGAGGGGAGCGAGAGAGAGAGAGAGAGAGAGAGAGAGAGAGAGAGAGAGGAACATCTGGGGCAGCTCCATTCTTTCTTCTTTAACCCCACCCACAGGCGCATTTCTCAACACTGCGCTCCTTTACCTGCCGAGGGGAGCCGGATCTGTACGTTAAAGGACTAAAACTACAATAAAGAAACAAGAAACTTCTCGGAGATATCTAAGTCACGAGTATTTCACCCAAGAATGGACTGAACATTCTGTTGGTAAGTAATGAACTCATAGTAGTCTAGTGATCTGTCGATGTGCCTCAGCTGAAGTTCACGCTTGAGCCGAACTTAAATGGATGTTTTCAAATGTGCTCATAGTATACCATAGTGTGCGAGACTATCATTTGTAAAAGCGAATGAAGAAAAGACACGTGTCGGTTAAAGCGCCATAGCTGAAAAGGAAATAAGGCTAATTTATGCATACAGTCTGTGCGTAAAAGTCTGCTTTACTCAGACATATTCAGGTGTCTGAAGTCTGCTTTTTATGTTTTACACATAACCATTACATAGCTGTTATTGTTGAAGTAGGCTCTTGAATTAATCTTTGTATGAAATGTACAAGATTTATCAGTTAGGCTACTTCTTAAGATACGTATAAACTCAGGGTGTGTTAAAACGTTGGTCCAACTTGTTTCCTTGAAGAACAGCTTGGCTCCAGGCCTGCTTATTACTGTGTTATTGTTGCTTCAGGGACATTTTTAAGAGACCTGTAGGAGGTGTTTTCCCCTTAAATTGTCTTTGGAAGAACATCTACTAATTTAAAAAAAAAATAATCAGGGTATTCAGTAGACAATGAAAACATGTTAAACTATTTTTTTTTATTCTGATGTCCAGGTCTGAAGACAAAATAGCCCCAGGAAGAGAAGAAGGGAAGAAATAATTTGAGTGCCAGCCGACATGGACTGGAAGACCTTCCAAGCCCTCCTCAGTGGGGTGAACAAATACTCCACTGCGTTTGGGCGGGTATGGCTGTCAGTGGTGTTTGTGTTCAGGGTGATGGTGTACGTGGTGGCAGCAGAGAGAGTTTGGGGGGACGAGCAGAAAGACTTTGACTGCAATACCAAGCAGCCCGGCTGCGCCAATGTCTGCTATGACCACTTCTTCCCCATCTCCCACATCCGCCTGTGGGCTCTTCAGCTCATCTTTGTCACCTGCCCATCCTTTATGGTGGTCATGCATGTTGCATACCGTGACGACCGCGAGCGGAAGTTCAAGGCCAAGCATGGCGACACCAAGAAGCTATACAACAACACAGGCAAGAAGCACGGCGGCTTGTGGTGGACCTATCTGATCAGCCTCTTCGTAAAGACAGGCATCGAGGTTGCCTTCCTTTACATCCTCCACCACATCTACGACAGCTTCTACCTGCCAAGGCTGGTCAAGTGTGAGGTGTTACCCTGCCCCAACCAGGTGGACTGCTACATCGGCCACCCAACTGAGAAAAAGGTCTTCACCTACTTTATGGTTGGAGCTTCGGCCCTCTGCATTGTCCTGAACATCTGTGAGATCATTTACCTCATCTCCAAACGCGTTGTAAGATGCGCAAACAAGGTTAAGAGGCGCAGTCGCAACATGGCTGTGCAGCATGACAACTACAGCGATGACCCCTTCAACAACTGCCACCTGCGTGTGTCCATGGGGTCTGACCTGAAAGAAAAGCCTCCATCCTTCAAGACTGCACTCAAGTCTCCACACAGACCTTCTGGACTCAGACTTGAAGAGAAGATACGGGCCTCTGCTCCAGACCTGTCCACTTCTTCGTGATTGAAAACAAAAGCAGGCCAAAGGGAAGGAGATGAGCAGTGCTTGTGTGTTAACTCAATGACAAATCTCAGAAAACAGACTCAGAACTATGAGCCAGAGTGTGTCAGACCCTGGAAGTTGAGTCATCTGAACTGGATTCATCCTGTGGGCCCTTGTGTCTACATCTAAGACTCTTTTTGAGCGTATATGGACTTTGTTTTCCAAGTCAACATCCACAAGAATTACAAGTCACAGAGCCAAATTGATTTGTCTATGATATGTGGGTTTCTTTGTTGAATACAATAAAGGCCTGTGTGGCTTTTCAGCTTCACCCCTTCACCCGTATTAGAACATTCCAGTGTGGTTTCTCTGTCTTTCTTGTGATAGGAGGTTTAACATGGGAGGGGAAGGAAAGGAAACACTGCACACAAGAAGACAGGACACACCTGGCAGAGGTATTCACCCACACTGCCAGTGTCTATAGTGCAGTGTGATGGCGCCTTGTTATAGTCAAGTGTTACCTACACATTTCAGAGATATCTTTTTCTTTTATTTAACTGAGATGAAATCATAGCTTTCTCTAATTTGCTGTACTGATGACTCCAAGTCATGAGAGATAGGTAGACCATTCTGCTGGAGAGTGCAGACACTTCTGAGTCATGGAGTTATGCCCGAGTGATACTTGAAGGTGTGCAAACTGACCAAAACGTTGTTACTGCATTTATTTTCCCAATTAAGATTTATTACAGCAACACGCATATATCACTGCCATATTTCTTTAGGTAAAGCCTTGGTGGGCATTTGCTTGCTCTTATGACACACAGCCTCAAGTTGTTCATAGAGTGCCTGTGCTTTGGCGTGCTTGTACACAAAGTTGCCTCATCCAAGACCATTGTTGATTTAAATAACGCAAAAGGAATGCTGCTGCTAGAAGTCGGAGCGCAGTGTAGAAAGGAGGAAATGTTGAACAAACAGACAGCTCGTTGAACTACTACATATTTTTATGAATCTCTCATAGCTCGATATGGACATTTGGTGGAAAAATGTTTTCTGCACTGTTAATAAAGTAATTTTTTTAAATAAATTAAATTTATATAACATCTTTTGAATGTGTTTTCATTTTCTGAATTGTCCTTACTGACTGCTTTTTGATAGCTTGAGTTTAATTTTAATTTTGGAATAAGGCTTTCATTGAAAAACAACCCTTAGATCAATTCCCAGTTAAACACATAACTTGTGGGAACAACCCATATCTATATAAACTAAAGACGTCGACACGCGGTAGTGCAAACACGTTCTTTATCCCAAAATATGACTTATCCTTCTTATTGTATTAAAGGAGTGGAATGTTTCCATTGCAGCTGACTCATTACTAAGTGTCTTGTCCTGCACATCACCAGTTACATCAATTAGCATTTTACCTTTTACGTTTCTTGTGAAGAATCTCAGTCTGCCTGCTGGACTTGTCCATCAGGTTTTCATGAGGTGTGGCAAAGAAAACTTTTTTTTTGTTTATTCTGAATCATTTCCGCAACAAACTGCCTAATCACCACAGAGACTGCTAAAGATAGCCCTCGTTTAAAGGCCTTATATTGTGGCTTCATATTGTTTTTTCCTAAGAGATCTGTGGATCTGATGTTGACTAGAAAAGGGCAGAATTGACACACCCACTGTAAATATTCAATTAAGTAACAGCACTCCTTACTCTGTAGTCCTTTCATTGCCCTAAAATTTGTTTCTGATCAATTTGCCAAACACGTGTACAAGGAGTTTGACTCTTACTTTTCTGTTTGGCATTTCTGTTCTTTTATCTTTCATGCAACTATGTGAAACTTTGAAAGCAATTTGAAAGCTGCAGTGCAAGTTGTCATGAGGTGTCTCCCAACACTGAAAATTGTGAGTCAGCGAGGCATTTTACTTATGAAATCGTTTTATTTTTTTTTAACTCACAATATTGTTAAATATGTACATCATTAATTAGAAGACAGGTTTTTCAAAATAAATATCTAACCAATAAAGTACAACTAGAACTTCTACATGTAAAAACAATTCTGTGAAATCAGAGAAGTACTGCACATCTGTATTATTTCACACATCGGTATAATACCCAAAATCATACATGCTGAATGTGTTAGATTCTCCCTTTGTCTATTAAAATAACAGTTTGAAAACAGTGATCACTGCATATTAAGGATGATAGAAATCAAAACAACACTTCTGCCTCTGTATGACATCAATGGAGAGTTTATCTTTCGCTCTGACATCTTAACTGTTGAACTTATTACTATAAACAAAATCTGTGCTTCTATTTGGCTCGCCCCCAATGCCCATACAGCAAACACACTGTTTAAAAGATAGGTGAAGGCTTGTGATGGGTCTAATATTAAGGATTAAAGTGATAAGGCACTGTTCCAGCTATGCTTTAATGTAGTGCTCATCTGATCAGAGGGTTTATTCTCAACAGTGGAAAGACTCTCCCAATACTAAATAAATATTCTTATACAAGTAAATGAAAAGTGATTCCATAATTATAATGAGGAGAACTGAACACGTAAAAGATGAGTGCTCCAGGTTGCATGGTTGTTTAGTCTGTGTGGTTTGGCTTTCATTTACAGTTTACAAGTGGCCTGTGAGACTTTGGAGTTGGTCTTTCTGTTGAGGGTTCGACAGATGAAAGCTCCAGCATCCATCAGCCTTGAGAGGTCAACCCCCTGAGAAGTGAATAAAAAGGATGGAAAGTCAAACTTGAGAGAAAAAGAACTTCTTCCTCATAAGCAAAAGCAAATAAACAAAAGACTCATGAATGAATTAAGTAAACAATAAGTCAGTGTTTTCTAAAAAAACCCATCTTTTCAAAAGTTATCTAAAAATTAATGTTAGCAATCAAAGCAAGTATAAGACACAGGAGGCCAGAGAGAAGCACTTACTGTTTGAATCCCAAGTCCATGCAGCATATAGACTACATCTTCAGTGGCTACATTCCCAGAAGCCCCCTGGGCATAAGGACAGCCGCCCAATCCAGCTACTGAAGAGTCCACCACACTGATTCCCATCTGCAAAAACAGAAAATAAATTAAAATAAATATATTAGACATTGTCCTTTTAAAAGACAACCAAAGTTTCAATTTTTCTGAGGATATAAAAAACCAAACTAGAACCCGACTGACCTGTAATGCTACAAGGATGTTAGCCAAGGCCTGACCGTAGGTATCGTGGCAGTGCACTGCCAGAGCATTAAGTGGGACCTCTCTGCTCACTGCTTGCAACATTTCAGTCATGCTTCCTGGAGTTCCCACCCCAATAGTGTCACCAAGGGAGATCTCATAGCAGCCCATGGAGTACAGACGCTTAGCTACCTGCAAAATAACACAAAGTTTGGCTTGTTTAAACAAAAAGGACAACTACTTTAAAAAGACTTTAGCCTTCATTTAATCTTGTACATATTGAAAACTCACATGTGCAACTTTTTCAGGTGCCACATTGCCTTCATATGGACATCCAAGCACACATGAAACATAACTGGGGTGACGAGAAACATCGATGAAACATAGCAGTAATACAAAGCAAGCACTAAATTCAAATGATTTACTGTTTTGTTGACAGTTAGGAAACTTGTAATCCTACCCTCTTACTGGCACACCAGCCTCTTTAGCTGCTTTCATAACCTCTTCAAAGCGCTGTAAACTCTCATCCACTGAGCAGTTTATGTTCTTCTTACTGAACAGCTCAGATGCAGCACCAAATATGGCAACCTCCGAAGCACCAGCCTTCACCTGAAGTGTGTCAGAGCAAGGAAAGGGATATTTTTCCTCAATACCTTCAGACACAGCTGTGTATAAAGAGCTGGACGTACAGTAAGTCATTGTAGCTATTATAAAAGAGTGTTGAATTATGATGCTTGACACTCACTGCAGACTGGAAACCTTTGAGGTTTGGGGTTAAGACCGGGTAAGACACGCCAGGTCTCTTACAGATCCCCTTCATCACCTCCACCTGGTCAGCCATCTGACATAATGGCAAAAGGGGACAGAATGCAATTAATGCCAGGGGTAACAACACTTTCTGACTGCTCTCTACGGGCTGTGTCTCAACAACTTCCATTTGAAAAGCTCTAAGAGAGGAAAAACTCACCTGCGGAACCCACTTTGGAGAAACAAAGCTGGTAGCCTCAATGACTGTAAGCCCTGATGCTGACAACATGTCAATCAAATGTATTTTTGTCTCCGTTGGCACGATGGTCTAAGAGTGAAAACAGGGAAATAAAAAGAGGAAATAAAAGACGACACAAGGGCAACACGGATATTGGCCTTTGCCTGGTTACATAACACATGAGCAATGCACCTGCCCTGTTTCAATAAAACATTTGAAACAGAGCAGACTTGAAAAAGTCAGGTCTAATCACACATGTAAGATATTTCCATTCGTAGACTAATGTGTTTGTTTTCTGGTTATTAAATGAAATATATATTTTTATTCGCTACCTTTTCATTCTGTAGACCATCTCGAGGTCCCACCTCCACTATCTTCACCTTTTCAGGAAGAGCTTGGCCTGCTCTTGCGCCTGCCTACACAAAAACACAAAAACATTTAATGCATACATTCGGGTTTTTATAAGTTGCTTAGTGTCGAGCTTACAACAAACTAGGTAACCAAATGCATGTAGGTTACTGAACCTGGAGGACGCTTACAGTAGGATGACAAGCCTTGCTGCAAACTAAACTTTCACTATTACCAGGTGGAAGATAACATCTTTAGAAAACTCACTGACTTTACCTTTGCTGCGGAACTAAACGCCAAAAACTGTTGACCCATTGTTGAACTTAAAGTGCCTCTGTTGACTAGCCTCATGACGGCCGCCATGATGGTCCAGCCTCCAGTCTGACGTCACTCTCTTCTCGGGAGGGGAGGAGTGGAGTGGGCTTTTCGTAAGTATAGAAAGGGCGCCATCTACGGGCGTGGAAAAAGAAAAGAAAAAAGCATGTTAGGGAAAATAGGGAGTTAGAACCATATTTACAGGGAATAACTATGGCAAGCCGTTCAGGAAATTTATATATTGAATGAAACTGAATGAAATTGAATATATTGAACAAAGACTGAATATATGGAATGAAACTTTGAATATATGGAATGAAAATTTGAATATATATGGAATGAAACTTTGAATATATGGAATGAAACTTTGAATATATGGAATGAAACTTTGAATATATGAATGAAACTTTTAATATATGAATGAAACTTTGAATATATGGAATGAAACTTTGAATATATGGAATGAAACTTTGAATATGGAATGAAACTTTGAATATATGGAATGAAACTTTGAATATATGGAATGAAACTTTGAATATATTGAATGAAGACTGAATATATTGAATGAAACTTTGAATATATGGAATGAAACTTTGAATATATGGAATGAAACTTTGAATATATGGAATGAAACTTTGAATATATTGAATGAAGACTGAATATATTGAATGAAACTTTGAATATATTGAATGTAGACTGAATATATGGAATGAAACTTTGAATATATTGAATGAAGACTGAATATATTGAATGAAACTTTGAATATATGGAATGAAACTTTGAATATATGGATGAAACTTTGAATATATGGAATGAAACTTTAAATATATGGAATGAAACTTTGAATATATGGAATGAAACTTTAAATATATGGAATGAAAATTTGAATATATATGGAATGAAACTTTGAATATATGGAATGAAACTTTGAATATATGGAATGAAACTTTGAATATATGGAATGAAACTTTGAATATACTGAATGAAACTTTGAATATATGGAATGAAACTTTGAATATATGGAATGAAACTTTGAATATATGGAATGAAACTTTGAATATATTGAATGAAGACTGAATATATTGAATGAAACTTTGAATATATTGAATGTAGACTGAATATATGGAATGAAACTTTGAATATATTGAATGAAGACTGAATATATTGAATGAAACTTTGAATATATGGAATGAAACTTTGAATATATGGAATGAAACTTTGAATATATTGAATGAAACTTTGAATATATGAAATGGAACTTTGAATATATTGAATGAAGACTGAATATATTGAATGAAACTTTGAATATATGGAATGAAACTTTGAATATATGAATGAAACTTTGAATATATTGAATGAAACTTTGAATATATTGAATGAAACTTTGAATATATGGAATGAAACTTTGAATATATGGAATGAAACTTTGAATATATTGAATGAAACTTTGAATATATGGAATGAAACTTTGAATATATTGAATGAAGTCTGAATATACTGAATGGAAGCTGATTTCATATCTCTCTATCCACCAGATACCCTGCTGAATTGAGATACCCTGCTGAATATGCTCATTTTACAAAATTACGTCGGCTGAAATATACCAATATTATTTAGAACTTCAAAACATTTTTGAAACAGCTGTTCATACTCAAAATGATATGAATAATTTGGAATGTAGATTGCGTCGCCTTGAAGATCATAGTTCAATTATCGGAACATTTTCACTGCATTTGAGTAGTAATGTTCAACAAAACATTTCTGAGGGCACTTTGTGCATCCTTCTTGAGGGATTTTTTGAGTCTCTTACGGAGATGTCAGCTGAAAAAACACTACAGACTTCCATTCCATATATTCTAATTTCATTCAATATATTCAACATTTCATTCCATATATTTAGACTTTGTTCAATATATTCAAAGTTTCATTCAATATATTCATTTCCTAAACAGCTTGCCATAAATAACTGACTCTATAAATAAAAAAATACATTTTTTTTAATAAACGTGAATCACTCACTTTTGTCTTTCAGACTTTCTATTGACTGTTTGGCCAAACTGTCATATTCACATAAAAAACACATAAAACTTTCCTTTGTAAAGTATGTAGATTCTAAATACAGCACAACTAATTCAATTGCATTTTTTTTTTATTGGTTTATTTTTATGCGTAAATGTTCTTCGGAATAACTTTTTGCTGTTAAAAGATTTGAATTCATCGATGAACTCTTTCAAATGATACAGAATTAAACAGTATGTACAGAAGTAATTGCTTCGATTGTCACCTTTATTGAATTGGATGGAAGAATGTTTTTAATATTTGTATCTTATTTGCTATTGTACCTTATGTTTATCTTCTGTGCAATGCTTCTTTTATGATTTGATTTATATCCAATTTCACTTAAAAAAAACAGGACGAGACAGACACAGGAACATATAAAAATATCTTTATCGTGTCAAAAAGTAAAAAATAAATTATAATTGGCTTTATATCATAGTGCATATCATAGTCAAACATAATCATGAAAAGCACGGCAACCATGGAACACTGAAATAGACAGTCTGTTTTCAACTTTTCCCAAAGTGGGAATGGAAATAAAAGATGCATTATTTTGTCCTTGTCACTATTTTTTGCTCAAATGTCAGCTAGTATCTGGCACATAGTTCCAAAAAGTAGCAAAGGCATGCATACAAAAAACATACTTTATGATCGAGTAATCATAATTATAATAGGAGCAAATAATCATGCTTTGGATACTGCATATCTTTATGAAGCTAAACAAAAAACACTCCATTTTGTCACAGAGGTGAACAAACCTTAAAGTAAAGATTAACCAGTTGCATTTTTAGACAACAAATATAAGATAAATGTGTGTATTTACAATGAATCACATATTCTATGCATAAATTCTCTCACATGGCTTCAGTTCAGACACACAGAATATTGGCACTCAATACCCCTGCCTGCTTCGACACACAAAAACACTTTGGTTCCATTTCATTGCAGATCTTCATCACTGTCGTCAACTTGTTGGATGATGAGGTCAGCCCCCGAGTCTTCAGCCAGGTCATCATCATCTGTTACCATCCAGCTGCCCTTGGTGTCCCCCTCCTCCTCCCCGTCCACCCCCAGTAACAGGGCCGGCTCATCATTTGTCCCCTCTAGACTGTCCATGGGTATCTCGTCACAACCCACTTCCTGGATGCATGTGGCGCACATGCGATAGCGTCGTGTGCCCTCACACACCACATGACCGGTCTCCTCTGTCACTTGACATTTACACTTCCTGCACACCAGCTTCCTGGCTTGATGGATCTTGTGAGAAGAAAGACAAAAAAAAAAACATTGATACCATGAAACTGTATGTGACTATGTTTACTCCTGGTTACTATTGGTGTGGCTATAACGGATGGTTGTGAAGACTGATACACAAAAAACCAACGCATTTCTTGTTATTTAACCCATTGCCTGAGCCTAGATTGAAAGCATTATCATTACTTATACTGGAGATGTAAAAATGGAGGTCATAATTTGAATCAAGCAAGGATTTTCTTGTTGTAACTAAACCTACTGTTTCAAAATGGCTACGAAGATGCTCCAGGCGAGTAAAGCGTTTATTGCAGGCCTGACAGGGGTATGGCCTCTCCCCAGTGTGACAGCGCAAATGACGCTTCAGATCTGCCTTCCTCTTCACGGTGTGTGTGCAGAAGGGGCACTTGAAGCGCATAATGGGGTTGGAGTCTGAAAAGGGGGAATAGAAAGTATTAAGAGCATTTGCTTTCCTGATGATTCCTCAAATATCAACAATTATCTTTGATTGATGGCAACACTCATGCCAGTATTCTACTCTTTTGCTAACTTCTCTGAAGCTAGAAGTGCTATTAACCTTCCATATTTCCACATACGCTCCAACTCACCTTTATTAAAATGTCCAATAACTCCCACGATATACGGTAAAGTAGCATATAGCTCCTCCGCTTTTTCAGCTTTCTGTGACCTTGCCTCCTCAATGGCCAAGTCTTCATGCTGGTTTGAGCGGGTGCTGTAGGGTGTTCTCCTCTTGGTTCCCCCTTTACCTCGCCGCCGCTCTGTGACTGGCAAAGTGTAGAGAGGATCCTGAGGGTCCTGCAGGTCATCTGCTTCTGCATTAATGTCATCAGTAGGGCTATTTGGGTTCGTATTTAGGGATTGGGCAATTGTCTCTTGGTCTGACTCCTTCCCCATGAAGCCAGATTGGGATCTAGAGTTGTCCCGGGTCCAAAGAGCTGGTGGTGGGCTGACAGAGCAGGGGCCCTGCTGCTGCTGCTCTGAGGTCTCTTCTCCTGTTCCACTGGTGAAACTGCAGGTCTCAGACAAGCTGTGGCATCGTTCACTGTCTTCATCTTTTACACTGATGTCCAAGGAAGATTTTATGAAGTTCTTGCAATAGCTGATGACATTGTTCATCTGCAAATAGCTGGCTGCAGACATCACCTCAATCACATTGTGACTGGAGAGGTCAAGCTGCCCAGAGTAGATGAAATCAAGGATGACGGTGAAAGTCTCAGGGCTGAAGACATCAAAGGTAGCGTTGACAGAGTCGGACAGCCCATCCGGCCCCTGGGACAGCAGCATGCGGAAGTAGCCGCTGCTGGCAAACAAGACATTGCGGTGGGCCCTGAAGAGCTGGCCCTCCACCAGCACATTGCAGTCACAGAAAAGCTCTTGGCGTCGCTGCTGGTTAAGTTGCTTGAGCAAGTTGTTTTGGTGAGCCACGGTGATGTCAGCAGTGTTGAACCATCTCTGAGGTTGCCTGCAGGAGACAAAAATAACAGAACCACACTTTCTGTCTTCAGCAAAGAAAAAAAAGTATTGTGCAAGAGCATGACATAACATATGATTTGCAATTCTTTTAGACACATTGCTGAAATGGAGTGACTTTCTTCCTTGCAGAGCTAAATTAACAGCTACAAATTGACTGATTCTACACGCACACAACATCTGAATACTAGCCTATATTATTTTGGAAGGACGCATGTGCTCCAGGAGTGTGATTCATGGGACATCTGACATTATGATAGTCAGCTTACCTCGGCCAATGGTTACTATACAGACACCCTCTTGAAGTAAATTACAATTATCTACTGCCTTTGTTTCTGCACTGGCCCACTTCCAGCTCCGCAGGAAGCCCGCCCCTAGGAGCCTACTCTGCATAAAGATTGGCTGGACGAGCCTTCAATCATAACCTTCTTCTAATGGGCTACACCCGACTCCAGTCAGAGAGCAGCGGGTGACAAAAAAAAAAAAAAAAACCTGTAATCATCCCTGAGGCACGCTGAGGCACGCGTCAAATCTCTGATTTTGCAAACACGTCAGGCTGATGGGTGGAGAAAAAATAAAACTGACATAGCCGGACATGTCATTTCAAGAGTAAAAAAAAATATGCCGCAACCTCACCTTCTTCCTCTTCCCAAGTAACCTATTTAAACATTATACTGAAGACTCTGCATGTACAGCCTACAGTGTTTATTTGGTTAAGCTCACAGGCAGGTTCCACAGCGCCCGTTAACCCACGGTGAAACGCCCGCCCGCGTCACTCCATGCTGCTCTTCATGTCACATTGAAACCGAGTCTGATGTTTTACCCGAGCTATCATCCGTTTATTCAGACATCAAGCGACCTAAAAAACGACACCGGAGTGCTGCAGTCCTGCGAGAAAAAAGCGGGCAGCGGCGCACCAGAGCAACCCAGTCTGTCCTGGAGCGACGCCCACTTCAGGCTCCATCCAGCACACAATAGAAAAAAATAGACACAAACCTACAGCAACTGAGCATTCTGCTATCAGATGGATAGATAGTGCATTACATGCGGGATAAGGCGCGCTAATACGCCCGTTTTCATGTTCCCCACCACCCCCACTTCTCGCCGGAGGTCCGGAGCGCAGCGAGCAGCGGGGAGGATTTGCCTGCTGCCCAAACCCAACGACTCTTTCCCAGGCGTGAGATGTCAGCAGGACCCGCTTACGCCCCACGAGATATTCCTGACAAAACCCATCGATACTCACTGGTGACTCGATTCACCCGGCGCCCGATAAAGTCTACTCGCCCCCAAGTCCGCCACCACATCCATGTTTTATTTTTTTTTTGCGTTTTCTCTCTGCTTTTTTTCTCGTCCAGGGTCCACACTCAGGCACTTCCTGTTCAGCCCTAAAGACCGAAACCCGGTTAGAGCAACTGAATCACTGTGCTGACGTGGGTGTTTATTAACTGGGTGCCCGAGGGTTCAAGGAGCCATTTAAAGCCCTAGTGCACCGTTTACATGCACTGTTTGGACACAATATATTCAACACTGAAGACCCAAGTGTGAAAAACATTTAATACATCATTTTGATTTGACACTCAAACCATCTAGTGACCATATGATAGTGGTAGAGTTCCTTACAATATATCAATATATTTTTAAAGACACATGTTGTTGCCTAGTTGCTTAAATGTAAATCTACGTAAACTTCCTTATTAAACTAGTGAAGAGAAAAAGTTTCATTTTGATTTGTCTCCCAAATCCAGTATGAGGTAATCACATAGTGTAGTTGAAAGTGCTGAAGTCTGACATTCTTTATTATTTCACAACAATTTCAAAACATCCCAGTTTCACTATCTCTGTAAATAATATAACAAGTGAAACAGTCTATACTGGCTCTCTTGTCAAGTGTTTTGAGATAACATTTGCGATGAATTTGCGCTACCCAAATAAAAATGGATCGACTGATTGATAATAGAGTCAAAATGCAGGTTTCAGTTTCTTCAGTAAGAAAATCAATTTATTCTTTTGTTATGGCTCACAGCTCTATACATTCAAAGAGAAAAATGAATTGTTAATTTGAAATAATAATACAGGGAAACCCCAAAAAGTGTACGTGTTTCTCTTACAACAGTACAGTGGGAATATGGAACATATAGAAAATGAAGCATAATAAAACAAAGCATTTGGCTCCACTCAAAGTTTCAGGTATAATGCAATATGCAAAAATGTGGAGGCTTATATGGTTCCCTTTGGCCCGGTGATTTAGGAGAGGATTTGATGGTAACACAAGCAGGAGATTCATCATGAGGCAGTGCCATTGGAAAATCCAGTGGGATTCATGGACTGCCAGCGCCAAAGATCCTCACCTACAGAGGTACAGAAGTAAGAATCAAAACGCAGCTGTGAAAAAAATGAATAAAGAAAGACATGCAGACTTTTTGATGAAAAATAAGAAACTGTTGAAAGACAATTTTTTTTTTTAAGCATGTCCTTACACATTCTTTCCAGGTCAAAGCTGGCCTTCCAGCTCAGCTCCTTCTCCGCTAGACAAGGGTCAGCATAGCAGGATGCTATATCTCCCCCTCTACGTGGGGAGATTTTGTACGAGATCTTTACGAGGACACATTAAAAACAAGGTTTAGGCTCCTCATAGCAGCTTGGTCATTCTTCAACACACAGGGAACACATTAAGTATGGTTAGTTCTCCAAGTTACCTATTGGAGACAAAGTACTATCTCCTAAACTAAAGACTATTTACTTTACAATAATAAAGTGTCTGCTGACCTGTCTCCCTGATGCCTTCTCCATGGCTTTCACCATCTGGAGCACTGAGTAGCCTCTTCCTGTTCCGAGGTTGTAAACCTTCAAACAGTAATGCCAGCAAACATAAATATATGTAGACAAGAAAAGAAGCTTCAAAATTCTACTCTTTACGTTCTGTTCTCAAACTTACTTTGCATCCGCAGCCTTCCTTCAGTTTCTTCAGAGCTGCTATGTGTCCTTTTGCTAGATCTACAACGTGGATATAATCTCTCACACCTAGAAAATAAAAAGACACTTTATGAACCTTACCCAAACAAGCATTGAATCTGTGCACTGCATGTAAGGATCTTCTTAATTACCTGTCCCATCAGGTGTGTCGTAGTCATTCCCAAATACACTCAGACACTGTCTTCTTCCAATGGCAACCTTTGAGAAGGATAATTGAACAATGCAAAACATGTCATTATATTTAAAGAGACACACACACCAAAACGGAGCATTCTGAGAGAGCTGGTTTATACAGGGTCACAAATCTCCTCTGGTGCTTGATTCATGTCATATTTTGACCAAAGCAGAGCACAGATGTTTCATTTAGACCACAGGGGACTGTTTGAAAAGCTGGAAAAGGGGGATCTAGAACTACAACACACTGTCGGATGCACATTCAGTGTCTGATATAGCAGTGAATTTGGCAATGAGTTTGTCTACCTGGGCAACATATGGCAGCAGATTGTTCGGGATACCCTGAGGATCCTCTCCTATCAGGCCAGATGAATGAGCTCCAATTGGGTTGAAATAGCGTAGCAGCACCGCGTTCCAGTCCTGCTCACAAAGAGGCAGGAACGAGACAACATGAATAAATAGTAATTGTGTGTTCATATGAATGCTGTTCTTCTTCCTGATCAGTACCTTTTCAGCTTTGCAGTGGTCCATGATCATCTCCTCAATGAAGTACTTGGTCTTGCCATAGGGGTTGGTGCAGCCACCAACAGGGTGCTGCTCATCGATGGGAAGGTGCTGAGGGTCTCCGTACACTGTGGCAGAGCTGCTGAAGACCAGATTGTGCACCCTGTGAGCCTGCATCACCTGGGACACACATGCAAAATGCACACAAACACGGCACACGCGTACAGTCATTGGCTAGTGAGATAGCAGTCAAAGCGCATGCACACCCACACCTTAGGAGTTAACATTTATGATTTGGTAGACATGGTGGGCTCCACAAATGCAAAGGAGTGAAGGTGCAGTGTTAGAATTAGCCAACTCAGTATCAACGAACACACACAGTCAACAATCAGCAAAACAGTTAAGAAACACATGCAAACTATGATCAGTGGAATGACTGAGATGGGGAGAAGTACACATTTCATGGTGCACAGATGGTGCCAGAGCACATGACAAAAGTGAATACTGACCTCAAGCAGGTTCATGGAGGCGGTGAGGTTGACCCTGTAGTAGCGTAACGGCTGCTCCACTGACTCCCCTACAGCCTTCAGACCAGCAAAGTGCATCACTGCACTGAACGAATGCTACAACATAGATAGATGTACAGTGAGTGTCGTGGCTAATGTGGAATGTCTTTCTATACTAACATGTGTATGACAGTCATAAGTCACACTAACAATTTGAAACACTTGTATGTTGGCCAGCATAAATGCTCCTTAGTTAAAAAAAATAAAAAACACCACACATTTTCCTTTTTTAATTACTAAAAGGAGTCATTGCTAAAAAAAAAATTACTAACTAGGCAAATGAATTTCAAAACAGCTGATGTAACTTTCTGACCTTTTTAAAGAGTTTTTCCAAGCCTGGTTTGTCCAAAAGATCTAATTCATGAAACTCAATGCTGGTGTCCAGGAGCTTCTCAATCCTAAGTATGCTCTCTGGAACATCACCTTCTCCTCCAGTCACATGAAGACAAAGTACACACACACAAACACACACACACACACACACACAGTATAAATATTCCTCACTAAACAAACGTAATCGAAACAGTCAAGTTTATGAGGAAGTACAAAGGTATTCATCCACCTTGTGTTCCAAGCTTTGGAGCTTACCTCTTACAGCGTTACTGAAGTTATCCACTACAACCGGCTGGAAGCCTGCTTCTATGAGCTCCACCACACAGTGACTCCCAATGTAACCCGCTCCACCTGTGACCAGCACCTTCTCTGCCATTCTTGGACCTGTCAAAACACAAAATACAGTTGCATGCAATCAACCCTCCATTCAAAATTCTGTTGTTATTCTACCCCTCGCAAAGTTTTTCTGTTCCTCAACAAGCAGATAACTTGAAGCCACATTTAAGACCTGTTCTCGACAAACAGGATATCCTATTGTCTGAGCTGGACAGATCTGTTACCCACCCCTTTTGTCCCACGTCAGCTGGTTCGAGCCTCAACCTGTCAAACCAAACAATTAACAGTCCCTGCAGGATGAAACGTCAGGGACAACATCTTCTAATTGTTGCAAGCTATTCTTATCTTTTTAGAGATCTTACATTAGTTCTTAATCTAAATACACTTAGTTGAACATTGAATTACATCATTTTAAGCTTTAATTCTTTTCAAAACTACTACCTTGAACACACTAAATTGAAATGGTAATGTATGCTGCTTTGGACAAGAAGCTGTTTTATTATAAACTCAATTGATACTGCAATGTAATCCAGGAAACAAACCAATATCACAATTACTTTGTCTATTACACAACTGTATTATACAGTATGTTTGGCATTTTGACACCAGGCTACACAATAAGAAATAATAATGAAATATTAAATGTGCGTTTTTCTCAGTTCCACTGAACACCAAATATCTGCGGCCATTGTAAAGCCCAGTGAGTTATTGTGCACGTCAAAGTGTCAAAATGAGACCTCAGAGTGAAATGATTGAGAAAGTCAGCAAAATGACTCACGTCGTTTCCCGGTAGGTTTTTTAAATTCTCGTTTCCCTCGGAGTCAATCGGCAAAACTGGCCAGCAGAATGAAGGTAGAGTGGGGAGGATTAAAATAAAGGTTTACCTGTCAATTCATTCTGAGGAGTTTCGCGACTCTCCTTCTAGACTTGTTTTACTTCCTGTAAAACGTGGATTAAAGGTAATATTTACTGTAAGCGCACCATTTCCTGTAAGTGATTTTTCCAAAATAAAACCCCATCGTCATCAAATTCGCCGCACACCACCTCCAAACCTGAAATATTACCTAAACAAACGCATCACAGGGTTGTGAAACACAATGTTGGGTCTCAAATTAAACCTAAACGTCTCATTTATCTTCGCATAATTTAGTGTGGTATTTTAATGTGAAGAGTAAAACGAATCAACACCATACACTTCTCTAACTTAACAGTCCTCTCAGTCCTCTGCGCAGGTGCGTCACAGCCTCACATGCCACGACGTCAGATAGCTCTTTAACAAAGCCCCGCCTTTGACGATTCACACAGGGAGGTGATTGTCCCGGGTATTCAAGTTTGCGATGTCAAACATACCAGCAAATAAATAAGTGCCACGTTACTGAGAGAGGAAATCAAGAGCATTTTCTTACGTAAAGCATTTATAGGCGACAGCAATAGCAGTTTATTAACAA